ATGTCGGTTTATATAGCCCACGAGGCTTTCAATGCCAGGGCAATATACAGTGGTTATATTTATAAAGTCTTACAATTACAACCAGCTCATTAAAAGCAACCATAAGGCTGATGTGGTCCTCGGTAGAGAGAGCATTTTTAAGTGATTATAATTGTTATATTGATGCACGTGTTGTTTGCATTAATTCTTGGGTCCCCTTCAATATTTCCTCCTATTCTTGTCTGGATTTACCCATATCAGGACTAAGGAGTAGGAACCCCGCCCCTAACAACAACAACAATAACAACAACCAATCATGCTTACCTTTGGCCTCATAGATCTTATTTCTCAGGAAACATGGATAAGTCAGATTGTATATCATTTATTTTCTCAAACCTCTTTATTACTCTGCATATTAACTAGGCTTGAGCTTGTGTTGTCAAGCCATGCTTTTGCTCCATGTTTTTTTATGCATAGCATAAAAAGAAATTGAAGGAAGTCTTCAATGAAATATGATTACAAACCTGTGATTAAGAGCTTTGAAGCATCCTTGGATATCAAACTAGCTTTAAACACCATGTTGAGATATGACTATTTAGATCCTTCCATGTGGTCAATAAGCTCACAAGGCTCTATCCCCATATTTTTTTAAAGGAATGTGTCTGGATTTGGCTGATGAAAACATAAGAAAACTGTATGTGCTGACAGAAATCTAAGGATTGTGAGTGGAAACAGAATGGTTATGAGTTCTTGATTCTCACCATTGAATTAATTGAACATAATTATGTTATCATTGGTTCTTGCAAACTTGTACTTTTTACAGTTCCTTCCTGAATCAAGAAACCACAAATACTTTGTGATCTTGACAGATTTATTTTCATTTTCATTTGAATGTACTTATGAGAAGGATTATTGAACTCAATCCTGATGGAACATGCCTCCATTTTTATTCTCTCTTTGTATATGTATCCAATGAGATTATCGTCCAGTAGAAATGTATTTTTAAAGGCATTTGAAGAATGTTTACTGCAATAGATCATTCAGTTACTTTCAAGTGATAATGCAGAAGTTTAACAACCACAGCAAAGTACTTTTCAAAACTTTATTTCCCCCTACATCCTGAGATGTTTCCTCTCTAATATATAGAGAGGAAATAATATATATCTGCATTGGACTTTATCACTTCCCCTGTTATTTTTGGCAGCTGTATACCAACCCTCATATGTCTCTTGTAGAAGAAGTGTCCAGAAGAACAACCTTCCTTGAACTCTGGACAGGACCATAGTTATTTTAATTATAAAATTATAATGGTACAGCGTAAATGTACCATTGTTTTATTGGATTGAGTTCATGGCCTGACATTGTGATATGCACAGATTGTGCTTAGTGATCCAAACTAGAACCCACATTGAAAGTAAATTTTGTAGACTTTAGAGGACTCTTTCTTGCAGATAGTGTATTTAGGATTATGGGAGGAATAAAACTAAAAATCAGTGTAAATGAACAACAGGATAATCGTGTGTCTTTTAATGGACATTTTTGCTGAAATTTGGCTAGTGAGTTTCATTATCTGAACTGGGATTTGAATGTGAATTTCCACTCTCCGAATCCCATGCTGCACCCAGTATACACACTGAGTACTCAATTTGGCATGATTATAATTGTGCTGAGTGGTCACCATCCTTTCCAGCTCTGAAGCAGCAGAAAGTGAGTAGGAAGTATCTCAGCTGGTTTCTTGGCTCCAAATTTACAGTTTGTCCATAGCACTTTGCAAGAGAAAAGTGGTAGCTTCTTACTCCTCCTTGCAATTCCCATGTTCCAGAGTCAAGAGAAAGCATGGTTGGGAGCAGAACTCCATTGCTAGAAGATGTTCTAGGTACATCATTAGTCAGTACTACCATGGCCTCAAGCTAGTTGCAACATGGGGTTTCTATCCAGCAACAGTGCCCAGTAAGGCATGTTTCCTTTACTGGGAAGGGAATGGATCTGGGGAGGAGGTGGGAATTTGCTAGACACAAAGGAAGTAAAATATTCTGGAGGGGCTGGAAATTTTAAACCTTTAGCTTGAGCGTGAAGACTCAGCAACTCAGTTTGTATTATAGATATGTTTCCTCTACATCTGGACTTTACTTAAGTACAACCCCCCCCCAAAAAAAACCAAAAACAAACCATAATTGTATTTTTCAGCTGGCAAAATAAGTACAAATATTTAGCCTCAGCAGCTTAGGCACGATGCCCTTGAGCTTACTAAGTATGTATATGTGTGTGAACCTGCCTTCAAGTCCTTGTTGATATATAGAGGACAAATTATTTTCATAATATTCAACTTCTAATTCAAGGTGACTCTATTTTGAAGCAAAGATTGCAAACCTTATTTTTTGAGATAAATGGGTCCTAGAGCAAATCAAGCCTTAACTCTCCCTAGAAGCCAAGATGACTAAACTGGGACTGTCATACTTTGGACATATCATGAAAAGACAATGCTCAGAAAGATGGAGGGCAGTAGAAAAAGAGGAAGACTGCATTACAGATAGATAGACTCAACCAAGAAGCCATGGCCCTTAAATTGCAAGGTCTGTGGAGGAGATTGTCATTTGTGGGGTTGCCATAAGTTGAAGTTTACTTGATGGCAGTTAATAACAAAAACTTCCCCAGCTATATTGTCTGTGGAAGTCACTTTTTTCAAGCTCTTCCTCGCATATTTATTTCAAACATTTCTATCCCGTCCTTCTCATCCCCCAAGGGGGACTCAGCTCGGCTTACAAATGGCAGCCATTAGATGCTGACAATAATGTCAATGTATTGTCGAAGGCTTTCATGGCCGGAATCACTCAGTTCTTGTGGGTTTTTTCGGGCTATATGGCCATGTTCTAGAGGCATCACATTATAAAACAAATTGACAATTAGGTGAACAACAGGACTACAACCTTAAAAAATAAAACAAAAAATTGAAACTTTAAAACAGCACCAAGCCCAAATCACAAATCCAAATCAAAGTTCAGAGTTCCAGTCTGATGTCTATTCATGGTTCTCATCTGTCAACTACATAGGAATGAATAGTAACAAAATGATTCCCAAAATGATTCCCTATTAAAAATTGTTTTGTCCCAAGATCCAGAGGAGGAATGCCTTTGAATTTATGAATAGTTTTTGATTCTAAGTGGTTTACAGAATTTGAAGAAAACTACAAACATTCTATAGGATCCCAGTGTAGCTTAGAATGAGAAATTATTGGTCCAAAATGTGGCTGTTTTCCTAGTAAGATATGGAGAGTATTATCATAAAACAGCAAGTAGTAAGGCATAGTGACAGTATTGGGTGCAATGCAGTGACAATGTCGTTTTTTGCCCTTCTCTCATGTCCTTGAGAAAGAGAAAGGAAGCCTTTGCACACATTTGCATCAAACCGTGGTTTTTCATTTCATCCAGGCATGACTAGTGTTACAGGTGTGTTTAGGAAACTAAGACAGAGTAGTTCACCATGCTTCACATTGACAGGTCGCTCCGAAGTATAGTATGTCTGGATTCAAGTACAGTGAACAACTACAACTGAAATTGAAAGCTATGCCTCTTCTTTCATGAAAGAAAAAGTGTTGCCCACTGGAAGCTAAACCATACTTTTGTGTGAATCCATTTCTCTCTATATATTCATGTTTACATTGGCATGTACAATTTTAGTAAACAGATTTCATCTGTGACTTTAGTTCTCTTTTCTCCAAAATATGTACACTAACACTCAAATTCAGGCTCACATGCTATGTAATGTGGCATTGGGTGCCAAATTTGAAATAAAAGTATTTCACATTTGGGATGCTTACCATTACTCATGTATACAAGTTGATCGGTTTGAAATAGTGCTGTGGTGGAAGATATAAAACACATGTCTGTAGATTGGGTATCCTTACTCTTGATGACAAATAATGCTTGAAATCGTTTTCCACTTTCAAGCTATCATATCCCCAGTCCTTAGGTCCTTTTTTTGCTATTTTCCTCTTTTGTTTTCTTATACTTATGTTAGCCATCTGCTCTGAATGTACTTCTGGCTTATATTTTCCATTTCCCTTTCAGACAGCTTTTCCTATGTCAAGCCAATGATGCTATTATAATGAGAAGAAAATTTTAAACATTGTGACTGTCGCTGCAACATTTCCAGATGACAGTTCTTTATCTCTTCTTATAAACATAGCCAACAGTTGTGAGCACTATTCAGCCGTGCCCTTTTTTGACCTTGTGTGTGTTCCAATAAATGTGGATTTCCAGCTGCGATTTTTTTTGAAGCATCACAGTTGACAATGGAAAGCTTTTCTGTTCTGCAAATTTATATGCTTGATGCAGTTGCTGAATGTAAATTAAAACCTATCCCCAAGCCACTTGCTAGAAGGCAGTAGACGTAGTATTAAGTACAACCTAAATTCCATCTTTGCAAAATGGATTGACTCTAGGGTAATCACTCTTAACTGACCTATGTTCACCTAGTGATCTGTGTGATTTGTTGAGAGTTTACCATATTGGCCTTTAGCATGACTAGGACCTTTGCAAAATGAGAAAGATTCCTTGCCATAAACATGCAACTCAAAGAGGCTGCCCACTGCAAAGTTCCCAGTAATTTTATGTGCTTCGTTGCTCAATCATCTTTTATTACTGCCTCTAGTGTCCAGGTGCATAATACAAGTAATCACTTTATACTGCATCCCTGCTCTGCTTCCCTGCTCAGCCACAGAAACCCACTGAAAGATTTTGGTACAACTGACAAGTCACGCTCTTTCAGCTTTAGAAGAAAGCAAACTAAACAAATATTGCTAAGAAAGTCCCATGATAAAGTGCCATAAGTCAGAAAGGACTTAAAGATGAAAAACAAACACACTGCATTGAAAAAAGTGGAATTGTATTCAAAAAAAGTACATGCTAGAATAAAAATCAATTCGTTCTTAAAATGCTACCACGTTTTTCTCTTTTTCCCTTTCTACTTTTTTATGTTGCAACAGAATCTTTGAAAATAATTTATCCATTACTCTTTTCTAGGTTTGTGGAGAAAAACAGCGCTTTGAGAAGCTAATGGAACATTTTCGAAATGAAGATAACAATATAGATTTCATGGTAAGTGTCAATTACTGTATGACTAGGACTGTCTCTTTTTTAGTATCCACATGCTGCATTTGATCATTTTAAAGACTTTTTTTATATAAATAAGTATTATACTCTGAGCTTGAGGGAAAATTCTTTTTGTCTGCAAGTCACAGAATGTTCCAGTCAATATATTTAGTGACTTGCATTTCTGAATGTTCTAGTCCAAAAAGTAGCTTCCAAAGGACTGATTTCACTTACTCTTAAAAGATGGCTCTTCCCTCAACTTGCAGCCCTGGAGAACCTATTCGGAGTGATGCCCACAACTACAGCATTTTTATCCAGTTAAGAAAACACACAAGTAAACAAGAAAAGTTCATCTTTACTTCGAATAATTTATGACTCCCCTATCTGCAATTTTTATTTTCCTTCTGAAAAGCAAGATTTTCCTGTGAGCAAACTTCTGACTTCTTTTTTGTCCTATATTCTTATTATCACAAGGAATAGCATAGTTTCCTAAATATGGTTGATGACCGTCCCTGGAATACCATCTTTCAGTGTATTTTTAAAGCATCTCCAATGTATTTTTTGGTCCAGAAAGGGGAATTGGGGGATAAAAATGAATGGTTGGGTCTTGAGGAGGGTCAGTGGGAATCCAAAAGGCCACATGAAGCTCACTAGGCATACAACTTGTTCCACTAAGACATTCTTCTTCAGTCTTCCTCTTGTATCATTTTCCCATGCATTCTAGAGTTTTTGAAGACGGTGTTAAATTAGTCCCAGTGGACTTTATTACAGATGCTTGAGGCAAGACTGGAGGTTAAGGTTTAACATTCCCTAGGCTAGGATCAAGTGCCTAACTTTCACCAAACCAAGTAAATTTTGAAAGACATTGCTTTTTTTAAGTCGACCAATTAAATCTACCTTTAAAAAATTCTGGGCAATAGGAAAAATAGGACTTGAACTCATAGAGGTAACATGTACATTGTTGCTTATACCATTTCTATTTTCCTCTTGCTTAATTGCTTAAATAAAATAATTATGCCAAAGATGCACTTGAGAATTAATGGCTCATAGTTTGATAGATCACATACTTCTGTTGCCATCTGGTTTTAAATAGATCTTCTTGTGGATAAATAGATCTTCTTGTGGGAGAAGAAGTTCTAGGCAAAAGAAGACTCAATCTACAGAGACATTCTGTGATAAACCCTTGAGTTTTCTAGTATTCACCATCTATCCTGGTTTCTGATGTTTGCAGTTTATTTATTATTAACAGAAGCTGTATTTATCATGATAGGGAAGAAAGGGTCAAACAAGGCCTTCCTTTCTAAAACTTGAGCAATTACACTGGGAACATTGATGAAACAATAGCTTGCTGACCATTAATTTGACATGGAAACTGGATTGGAGTGGGGAATGTATTTTTTGCCCTGATGTAAAGAGGAGAAAGTGGATTTGAAAAGTTATTCCCAACCTTTCTGTTGTGCCAGGGAACAAAGTTCTATCTTAAATTTACCCAGAGCTTTTGTTTCAATAAGTTATATTTCATGCTTCTTAAATATATGTATGATTAGTGTAGAGATTAGTCAGCATTGTCCCCATCAAAGTAACTGTTCATTATTCTGTCTTTGTAAAAAAGACTTCTTGATAGAGTAATTTATATCACTTAAGTTTAATTTATAGCTGGATCTTTCAAGAGAAATTAAAATATAATTAAATATTTATCATAACCTTATACATTATCAACAAGTACAGCCTAATTAATGGATAAGTATGAAATTATTCTACCATCTTTAAATAGGATAGTATGATGGTTTTCCATTACTGTTGCTATTACTCTTATAAGAAAGAAATCACCAAAAATTCTGTTTAAATCAACCATGTGCAAATTTTGTACAGAACATGTCCTGTCCTATGAAGATTCCCATCAGTCCAGAATGTTTTCAGATATTATTTCCAACACTACCTGGGAGCATGTTTGTAGTAAGCAGGACTTCTGACTAAGGGCCTCATCACATTTGAGCATTTTTCCATTTTCATCCACTTGCCTCCTGCAGAATTTAGGGGTTTGTAGTTTAGGGAGGCCCGGGGCTTCTTTGAATGACCAGTGTAAAGGCTCCTCCCTAACCTACAAACCCCAGAATTGTACAGTGACTGCCTCCTGCAGAATTCTGGAGTTTGTAGTTTAGGGAAGGGTCTTTCAACTGCTCATCCAGAGAAGCCCTAGGTCTCCCTAAACTACAAACCCCTGAATTCTGCAGGAGACAAGTGGAAAAATACTCAAGGCCCTAAGCCAGCATCGAATTGTGCTGCGTCATTCCCATCTTTATTCTACTTGGCCTTTTAATTTAAAACCTGTTTCCTTGTGTTATCACTGTTTGAAAAGACTCTTAACTGCATAGTACAAACCCTGTATCTGTGGGAGGTACATTTCAAATCTCCCTGTGGATAACTGTGAACCCTATATTTTGACTATATCTGGACCAAAGGCATACTATAGAATCACATTAGAGTGCCTAGAGAGACCCACAAGCACTTCTAGGGAGAAATAGTTCTTGGAAAATGGGCAAGTAAAATTGTAGACATTGAATCCGTGGATAAGGAGGCATGTGTGCAGGCATGTGTGCATACACAAAAACACATACAGGTGCACAGAATCCTCATATATAATCTTGACATACTCTTACAAGACAGCCAACATACTACATCTTTTGTCCCTGTTACCACCCTACAAAAAGGTGCACCATTATTGACTGTCAGCTTCTGTTTAGTAATGATGATTCTTTCTTTACAGGTGGCATGCATGCAGTTCATTAACATCGTTGTTCACTCAGTTGAAGACATGAATTTCAGAGTCCACCTCCAATATGAGTTTACAAAACTAGGACTGGATGAATATTTGGATGTAAGTACATCTCACTTGGGTTCTTCATGGCCTCCCAAGCATATTGTTGATTCTAACATTTGAGTATTTTTGAGCTTTATGTTTTGATGTGGCCAGACAAATCACAACTTCCTTCTCTTGAAATAGAGAACACTAAAGCGAAATCTTTCTCAAAAAGTCTGCATTGTTTTAAACAGTTGTTAAACACTGATCATATTAAAACAAAACCATATTGCAAAAAGAATCCAATAGATTGAGTTAGAACCATACACCCCAGCCCTTGTGGTTTCCTAATTGTGGGTGGAAGAAATAATAAATATTTCTGTTTTATTTATCACCTCTCCTTATAGTTGAAGGGGGCCTATATGCCATCAAGCCCAACTTCCCACTCAGCATAGGATCTTTATCTAGAGCAGTGCTTCTCAACCAGTGGGTCCCCAAGTGTTTTGGCCTACAACTCCCTGAAATCTCAGCCAGTTTACCAGCTTTTAGGATTTCTGGGAGTTGAAGCCAAAACATCTGGGGACCCAATGGTTGAGAACTACTGATCTGGAGCATCCCCAGCAGCAGGGGCGGCTCAACCCATTACGCAAAGTAAGCATTTGCAGTATAGTTGATTTTGCCCAGGGGCACTCTTGAGGTGCTCTTGGGGGAAAATAGACCTTGACATATGCGAGTTGTAGTTACTGGAATGTATAGTTCACCTACAATCAAAGAGCATTCCGAACTCCAGCAATGATGGAATTGAACCAAATATGACATACAGGACTCTCACGATGAACAGAAAATATATATCAGTGAGTGGTGGTGGGGGGGGGGGGCAAAATACTGTTTGCTTACCGTTGAAAATTACCTAGGGCCGCCTCTGCCCAGCAGTTAGCTGCCCAGCCTCTTTTTGAAGACATCCAGATAAGGAGAGGCATCATATCTCTACCTAGGCAATTGATTCTATTCCTGGACTTCTCTTACTGTCCATGAATTCCTTCTAATGTTAGTCTAAATCTATTCTCCTGGACTTTAAAGCTATTTAAAGCAAGTTCTATCACTTGACAAGGTAGAACAAGTCTGCACCCTCCTCGTTGTGACAGTCTTGAGATATCTGGAGTGCAGTCATTTTCCTTTCAGTCTTCTCTGCACCAAGCTAAATATGTCCAGCTCCTTCACAGCCACCTATATTTTGCTTTCCTATCTCTTATCATCCCTGTCTCCCTTCTCTGAACCTACTTTACATGTCTATACACCTCTAAAAATGAGACACCCGGAACTCTCTTGTCCTGTAATTTACCCAATTGATTCTCTAATGATTTGAATGAAACAAAAGTGTCAAACTTGCATGGAAATTTCTGTGTAGCCTGGATTGATTTTAATGATTTGCTTAAGGTTTGAGCAGCAGTACCTAAAATCCATAGGAAGAGTAACTACAATTTACTTTATAAAATGGACATCAGACCCCTGGTCAATATCAAAACCACCAACACCACCCCAAAACGGTTTTTCTAATTCAGACGTGAACATCCTGCAGCCTCTATTCCCTCCCCCACTTTCAAATTTTTGGCAGTTCTTAAAACCCCCGAGGGCCCCAGTGGCACAGAATTGGCCTCAGACCCACTGACATTGTCTGCCTTGGACTGAACAAGTTATGTAGACACGTCAAATGTTAGGAACCCTTTATATCAGGGGTGTAGAACGTTGGTCCTTGAGATGTTTTGGATTTCATCTCTGGAGGGCCCAAGAGGTTCCATGCTTGCATCACATCAAGCCATTCCCATGTCTCTCTACATGTGCTCATTTCAGAATGAAACTGCTCCTTGCAGTGCCTTCAAGCCAACTCAAATTTACACTAACCTTCTTAAAAAGTGTTCTCTGCAAGATTTATTCAGAGGAAGTTTGCCATCGCCCTCCTTGAAATATAGCCTGATATTCTTGGCAGTCTCCTTCCAAGTTCACATCAGGTCTGATTCTGCTTAGCGGTCGAGATTAAAACAGGATCTAATGCCTTCAGGGCATTTAGGCTGGGCTGCCTATTCCTGGTGCATATCATTTGTGCTCTTATTTTTAATTTGGTGAATTCATGTGACTTGTAGCTAATAGTCAATCAGAAAACTGGAAAGGAGAGTTTTGCTTTGATTTTGCATCTTATATACAGTGACTACATGGTTATTGTGTCAAGAGAAATGAATAAAGCCATGGGGAGTGTGTGCCTCTGGCATAGTACCTTCTGCTAGGTGCACTTCCTCTGGGCAGCCCTGCTTAATGAGAAAACTGGATCCATTTCAAGAGTTTTATTAGCTATCTACTTTCCATTCCTTGTTCTAGCTGACCCTTTTGAATAAGTAGAGTGACACATCACTCAAGCTACAGCTGTGCAAGCTTCTGAGGATTTTATTCAGTCTGTGCTCCAATAGTTCACTAGCAGAAATCAAAATATGTGACTTGTCTTTTTGGCAGCAGTAGCTTACCACAACTATTGAGATAGGATGAGCAAATAATGACATGAGCGTAAGTGAAAAACTGCTATCAAGAGGAGGAAGGAACTTCAGAGGTCCCCTGGAAACATCCCAACCTTTTGTAACTAGAACATTGCTAATCTTGGTTTTATTGTGCCATTTCACCATTTCTCTCCACCCCCATTGGTTCAGCAAGTCTGAAGCTGTATATCCTGACTAGCAGAGTATTTGATTGTGGACTGTGGTTTTTCTCTGATTCATGTCATGCTTCCCAGGATTGGGCCTGAAAGCTTATAAATGCAAGATAGGTACTCTACTCGTAAGATAGTCTTTCCGTAAGATGTGATGGACAAGAAATTAAGGATGTTGTGGCACCATTTGATGAATTTATAATGGGACATCTGAACTGCTTGGCAAAGCAATATTTTTTGTTCATCCCAGCAAACCTTCCTCAGACAGGTTAATCTATATACAAAATGTGATTGCTACATCTGTTTTGGAATAAGATGGGAGACCTGTTCACCAGATGCTTAATATGTAAAACTGGTTGTGGAGATGAAGAAATTATCCAACCACATACATTAAGCAGTGGACAATAAAAACAAGACTCAGGCTCACTTTTTTTTTTTTGCTATTAACAAAGAAAAATTTTGCTTCCCCTCTCTCAGTATCTCAGCTCTTAGGTCTTTGTGGTCTCTTAACTTCTGTGTCCTGTTTCTTGATATTCTCATTTCTATTTTCTTGTGAGATTCTATTTTTAGGCACTTTTAACGTGAACACATTTTTTGTGAGGGGTGTTGCTCAGGAATTCAGCTGCTCTTGCTTGTTTTTGGCTTTGTTCCATTGTGTGACATAGTAAGAAGTGCTTTTTATGTTTTCTGACAAGAATATTTATGTTCTGTATAATGTGTTCCTTCTGATGCTACAGTTCTGCACTCAGTCTAGGGCTTATATTTCCAAAAAGAGAGGGACTCTAAGGGGGAGTTCTTAGAGTCCCGTCAGCTGTAGAGTAGGCTTCCCATCCTCCAGCTGAGTTCTCCATAATTCTGTAGAAACAGTGCAAGCACAGAAATTCTCAGAATTCACATTAAATGGAGTGTTCTTTGAAGTTAGCAACAAAAATTGACTGAACTTCTAAAACGCAGGTAGGACCACAAACCTCAGCACATGTACTTACAAAGCATCACATTGTACTAAACAGAACTTATATTTAAAGAGCAACAGATAGGATAAGGTAAATAGCTTTGGAGTGGTTTTTCAAGGAAGAGGAAGTATTTTCCCAGATGGAAAACGTTAATTTTTTTGTGATAATACCTTGTAGCACTTCTTTCTCCCAATTCTGTTATTTCCTAAGAAAGAGAAAATATGCAAGTACATCTTGAACTTCAAAATATGAAAGCATTTGTGTAGGGATAGAATTTCAAAGACATGGAGACACATCAGAGAAGACCGTTGATACCTGTGACTAAGGGTGCTTCCAGACATCAGATTTGAGTACCTCCCAACCCCAAAACCCCTTGCACCCCTATAAAGCCCTTAAAAGAAGAAATAACTTACTGGGCTGCCATTAAGGTACTGCTGGAGTCCTTCTAGTGTGTAGAAATCATGTGCTCGGGGTGGGGTGGGGGCGTGGGCAAAATTGCCCAGTAAATTATTTCTTCTTTTGAGGGCTTTTTGCAGTGGGCTTTTTGGAAACCCAAAAAAATGAGATGACAAATGGGAACTAACTCCCTGGGTAGTCCCATGACTACCTGTGGGTGAGTCCCCATAGGCTCTATACCCTATTAGACCTGGTCCTTTCAGAAAGGCCCTGATCTAATGGGGTATCCAGTTTATTTGGGACAAAGCAGGGTTTACCTACTTGGTCCCAAATTAATTCGTTTTAAACTGTGGCATCATTTGGACGTCTCATTTGGAAAACCTGACAGGTCTCACATTTTGGGGTCTATCTAGAAGGGTCCTTAGATGTCAACACTTCTTCTTAAAGAAGAGGCATATTTGTAGATCAGAAGGAAATGAATGATCAGAAATATACTGTATGTTACCTTCTTATAAAACCCTTCTGAAACTCTAGCAACACACATCTGCCTTTCTTTTATCTGGGCAAAGAATTTTGCATGATCACTGTGGCATTTGGGATATATATTTTATGATCTCTTTTAATTTTACAGGTTTTTAAGTATGTGGGGAACTTCTCCGTTAAATATAGTTGGATTCATATATATATTTATCAGCAGCATTGAAACTAAGTATTTTAGCAGTTAGTGGTAGCAATGCTATATCCATCTGATCTGATTAATTCAATTGTCATTCTCTCGTTTTGCTTTCGGCCTTTCAGAAGCTGAAACACACAGAAAGCGATAAGCTCCAAGTGCAGATTCAAGCTTATTTGGACAATGTGTTTGATGTTGGAGCTTTACTTGAAGATGCTGAAACCAAGAATGCTGCCTTGGAGAGAGTGGAAGAACTGGAAGAAAATATCTCTCATGTAAGTATCAGCATTAATGGGCTAAAGGTTTAGGAAACTGGGATTTTTGCAACCTATGATAAATTGGTTGGTTAGTTGATTGGTTGTTTGGTTAGCTGATTAGTTGGTTGGCTGGTTGATTATAAGAAAATGTAACCCCTGAAGAAGTGGAGGAAAGGATTCATAGTATCACTAGAACAAGGCATTAAATAGCTCTTAAAATATATGTCTCTGATTTCTATCCAGGGCTGCTGATAAAACATTTGATAATCTTTTTAAAAATAGTACTTTGATAAAAGAAACAGGAGGGAGAATGTAAAGGGGAGGATGTTAGAATGCAGTCCTCCTCATTTTATTATACTGCAGTTCCCAGCATTCCTCAAAATTGGTAAGCACATATGGGAACTGCAGCAAAACAACATGTAAATGTCTGTGTTATTCCCACCAGTGATTGTTTTACTTAAAAAAATTGTATTTATCCCTCCAAATAGCATCCCTCCACCAAAAATGACATCAATGAGTGGAAAGGGGTTATTCGTTTTCCTTCCCACAACTCTGCCTTTGCCCATCTCCCAGTATGGAGGGTGGTGCTCGTACATTCAGCTCAGTTTGCAACCAAATGCATTTTTAAAAATCTTGGCAACGTAGTCTTGAACATAGTGATATTTCATTTTAATTCATTTTTAAATTATATAAGAGGGATAAAATGTAGGCTTAGTTCATGTGGCAGTTGTTTGAATGATGCCCATGAAAGCATCTATAAATAATATTTTCTAGATGGTAAATTTCTGTATAACAGTCTAAACCATTTAGTCCTAAAAGTTCATATAGACAGCAAAATCTGCTGACCTCTTTTGATCGTAACTCTGGGGTCCTTTTAATGTCTGAGTAGCTATGTCCAGGCTGACACGTGGTTGAGGAATATTATGTAGGATTTTGGAACATATGGTGTTGTGGACATGATGCTTGAGGTTTCCTTAGAATCCAGTCTTCGTTGCTTGGTTGCAAACTGTTAGAATACTACAGGAGTATATCTTTAGTTGGATTCAGTAGGAACTTTCTTATGGATTAGTATGTGTAGTTTGTGGAGTCAACATGGTGTAATGGTTTACATATTAGTGGTGTGCCTGCGCTGCAGAATTAATGCAGTTGGAGACCACTTTAATTGCTGTGGCTTAATGTTTTGGAATGATGGGAGTTGTAATGTTGTGAACTACTTGCAGTTACTGGAAGAGAAGTCTAAAGATCTTGTAAAATTACAGCTCCCGCGATTTCATAGCATTGAGCTATGGTATTTAAAGTGGTGTCAATTTCATTAATTATACAGTATGGATTCACCCTAGGACACATTAGAGTGCACGTGTTTGTTAGAAAAACCCATAAGGCGGTGATTTTAGTAATTTAATTACACTACACAGCTTGCATTTTAAAACTTGCACAAGCAATATTGATAAAATATTATCGTGTTAAGTCCATTCTAATATTGAAATTGAACTTCTCAAATTGATTTGTATTTCATCAAGACACGTTTCAGGGCTGATCTAATGCTATGAATGAACCTATTGCAGATGTGTGGGATTTGTTGCTCTGTGATCAGACGATTGCCTGAAATAGCTCAGAAGTATTTAATTTTATAATTCCATATGGAATGACTTGGGAAAATAGCTTCACTGAGGGGAAGAGGCGGCTAATTTAGATATAAATTGCAAATTTTGGGTACATATTAAACACACAAATAACAGCAATTAGGTGCTTCATACAATGTGCAGTAAGTGGATGCAAACCAGAGCTATTTTGCATTTAAAATGTATCAGCAGCTGGAAGCATGTTGGAGTGAGATAGTTGCATGGTAGGTGTTTGTACATATATAATTAAATTAAGTCAAATCATCTAGAGATCAAATCATCTAAAGCTCAAAAATATTGTGAATGGTTCAGTCAGAAGAATGAGAACACAGTGCCCCCTTGTTTTCAGTAGTTTAATAGATTATGAAGGGGTGGATAGTTATGTTGGCTCAGTTAGCATGACAGTTTCTCTCCCTTTCTCGGTCTACTTTGGAATGAAATTTTAACTTCACAGATTAATCTAGCCAAAAACAACTAAAGGCCTTCCTCTAGATGGGGGAGGGCAATTGCAAGATGGGGTCATTTGCCCTCTTTGCCTTCACAGCACTCCAGTGAGATGCAAGTAACATCATTTCAAGGAAACATTTGACCAATTTTGAAGGTTTCCTTTGCTTTTTGAGGATATATGGAAGGCTTCTGGGGCCAAAACTGGGGTCTCAAGTATCACATGATGTCTAAGAAACTGTTTTTTCTAATAAATAACATCTCCAAATTCTATGTATTAATCTTCAGTTTATTTGCCATCATGCATCTTTTACCTGCCTTCCTACATTTGTTTGGGATCACTGTTTTTACATGACTAGTAGATAGAAAAGAGACTTAGAGGTGAATGTAATCCATATGCTTATAGCACTTCAGTCCAAACTTCCTGGAGATAGCTTCCCAGTAAACTTGTGTAGATGCAAAAAAATACCTGTTGGACAAGATGGAAATCTGGAATAGCTCAAAGGCCAACATCTACGAAGTGGAACAGAACATTATCTTTTTGATTTGCTTTTCCAAGGAAAGACCAATTGAATAACTCCCAAGTTGAGGTCATCTATGGGGCGTGTAGTGGTATCTTTATAGCTGGGATAGATAATTTTGTGGCCCTGGGGTTCATTTCCTCTTATAATATGCTGTAGGGTGCACTGTTGCACAAAATGTGACATCTGGTGTTGTTTGTTTTTGTTTTTTTAAATAGGATCTGAACAAAAGTTTACTTCAGTTCTTTAAAAATGAAAAGGACTGCTTTCAATAAATCAATGGTTTATGAAGATGCTTTGGAGGAGATTTGCCACTTCGGGAGGTTCCTAGGAGTGCTGTTATCTATCCATTTTTAAAAAAATATTGGGAATCTTTTGCTAGATTGGAGCCAGAAGAAACATAGGCCCTGAGAAAAACTTAGTGCTTTTTCTTTATAATACTGCAGTTAGACCAGCGAGCTTTGCCTCAAAGTCATTGTCAAAGCAGGATATATTCTTGTGATATTCTTATCAGTTTAACACCTTCTGCCTTTTTAAAAATGTCTAGTTATCGGAAAAGCTTCAAGACACAGAAAATGAAGCTATGGCAAAAATTGTGGAACTGGAAAAGCAACTCATGCAAAGAAACAAAGAACTGGATGTTGTTCGGGTAAGTGTGCTTTGAGTGCAGACTGGGCTCACTAGAATGTCAACCACAGACACGTCAGACTTTGAGAAGCGAAATCTGCTATGTTCACTTTTGCACAAGAAGTAGGTAACTAGATAATCATTCAAATGCTTCAAACTCTGAGAGAGTAACAGTTAAATGTGGGTAACAGTTAAATGTGCTTTCGGGTTACTTGAGGCATATACCCAGAGTGTACACATGCTACAGTGAGGAAGAACTAAGTTTTGCAGACATTTTTAGCTGCTGTTTTGCAACTGCTAATAAGAACAAAATGCATATAGATGAATGTATCTTCTAGTGATTTTAAGATCTAATTAAAAGGGTTTATTTATTATGTTTCTTTATATCCCACTTTTTTCTCCATATAAAGCAGCTCACAATATAAAGCATTGCAATACAACTTAAAGTATACAAATATTAAAACAGTATTAAACCTCTTTAATATTATAAACAATTTATGTTAAAACCATAAAACATATAAAAACCACAGCATCCCCTGAACTGATCTTAAAAATTTTCTTCTTTGAAAGCCTGATTGATAAAAAGGTTTTAGCCTTCTGCTGGAAGGACCGCAAGACTGGGGAGCAGCCACCGAGAAGGAAGGCCCTCTCTTCCGTTCACATCAACTGAGCTTGAGAGGAAGATGGGATCAAGAGATGAGCCTCTCCTTAAGATCTCAGGGTCCAGGCAGGTCCAGGTTACACAAAGATCAGGACAATAACACGTCATTGGCAACCACTTCAGACCATAGTCCTCTGTGGTTGCTGATGGACACTTCTCCTTTGATCCAGCAATCTCTGATGCTCCATAAGGAGTTGTGATTAATACGTATTCTCAGAAATGTGAAGAAGTGCATGGATGTGCCCATGGATTTCTTTGAATCTAAACCTTAATTTTCTTCTTTTATGTATTATCTGTTCTTTAAAAAACAGGCAAGTTCCCTTTGCTTGGAGTCCCATGTCTAGCAGTTGCATCAAAAAGAACAGGACAAATAATTAGTAAGAGTGAAATCTAACATCTCGTTGGTTTAGGGCTTGTCTACATTGGCCCTATACTCCAGTTTCAATCAGAGTTCACACTTGAATACCCAGACAATGCCAAGGAACTTCCAGTTGATATCACAAGATAAAACTGGTTAATATGGTTTTACTTTGCATTAGAAGAAGTTAGGGAATGCTCGAGAACTTCAGTGAAACGTTGGAGCAGCTTTGCACTCTGTGAAATTGTAGACAGCTGGGCCAGTCCCAGTTCAAACTGGCCTCCTGTCCACAAAGACAGATGTTGCCATTTCCTTTTCCTTGCGCCCTGTGGTATAGAGGAAAGTGGATAGGTTGTGATTGTACCATCCTTGTTACCACAGAAGACCTCTTGGCTATCACGAGGCAACTTTTCTGACATCAGCTAAGGTGTCTAGTGATCATCCGAAGTTCTCTGGCTCTGTTGGCAATTTGCTGTGACAACAAGGCTGATAGTCCAGGGAAAGATGACCATCCAATGGAAATTTTGTTGTAGTTCTTTTTAGACAATGTTTTGTATTTTGAATTCAAATGTATTCCTTATACTTTTGGGCTTCTTTGCAGGAAATTTACAAAGACGCAAATACACAGGTTCACACGCTGAGAAAAATGGTGAAAGAAAAAGAGGAAGCCATTCAACGACAATCCACACTGGAGAAAAAAATTCATGAACTGGAGAAGCAAGGTTCTATTAAAATTCAGAAGAAAGGCGATGGTGATATCAACATTCTTCCTGTTGGGGTGGCTTCTGGGACATTACCATCTGGATCAGACGCAGTGGCTAGCACTGTTGGGGGTTCAGTTTCTGGCACAACGTCTTCAGTTGCATTGCCGCCACCTCCGCCCCCTTTGCCGCTGTCTGCAGAAGAATCAGAAGCAGGTGAGGAATGTTGGCTGTAAAAGGAATGAGTAGAAAGTACTTAGCTTAAAGAGAACAAGGATGAGTTCATTGACTTTCCAAAACCAGATAACCTTTTGTGGTCACACTTGAAAAAGATTGGGTACAAGCCAATAGAAAGGTTGAAACTTTAAACGCTCCTTGGGAAAAGTAAGATTTTAGTGTTCGTTAATTCGTTGCCACCTTCCCTTACCACCACTCACTTATGAGTATACTTTTGTAGAACAGCAAGTTATGATACGATTAATATATTGAGCACTGGATTAAATAATTTTTTGGCTAGTGTTAGCACTTTCTGAGCAGGTGATTGAGTGTCTTTCACCAAAAGTAATTTGATTTGTAGTTTAAAGCTATCTAAGACAATTGGTACCTAAACTGGTATCCATCAGTATTGTTGGACTATAGCTTTCAAAACTTGAACACTAGCCATGCTAGTTAGAACTGCTGCAGGATGGAGTCCAGTAGCATCACTGGACTTTGTTTTGGCAATCACGGCCCTAGAGATTAGAATTATTCTGACACTACCAAATAAACTATTGTGTTCATTTGCTTGGTGCTGCTAATAGAAAATGTGCTGGGTGGACCAAAAAACAACAACATATGTGTAGCAGAGTGAATTCAGCTGCATTCGGGACACAAGTTTCCAAGAGACAGCTTCTCAATCTTAGAAGATTAACTTGCATTTACCTAAAATGTCCTGTTTTCAGAAAACAGGTTTCTACCCATTGGATAAAAGGTGGTTTTGAACATGCTGTTTCTCCTTCCTGCTTCTATGTTCTTTTACCTGTTTTCCCTGCTCCTAGAGAATCAGGCACAGGATTTGGAAAGCCTGTGTTGCATTCTGTGGATTTGAATAGCCATGAGCAGATTAGCCAAAATAATTTCCATTTTTGCAGCTTCTCACATTTTGTATGCAGAATAAGTAGAATATGTGTTGAATGTGCTAGTTCCTAATCTGAATTAATGTTTTTAAGTGAAATGTTTTTCATTTTAAATGTTTTATATTACATATTGTTTTAAACCTAACTGATTTGTTTTCATTGGTAAACCACTTTGGCTTCTATATGAGATAAAAACAGGATATAAATTAAATAACTAGAGTTTAGAGTGGTGGTTCTCAAACTGTGCTCCTCCAGATGTTTTGGACCTCACTCCCACAATTCCTAACAGCTGGTAAGCTGGCTGGGATTTCTGGGAGCTAGAACACCTGGAGGAGCACAATATGAGAAACACTGGTTTAGAGAGAAACAGAATCATAGAAACTGCCTCTGGGATTCTCAGTCTTAGCTGAATATTTTCAACTGTTAGGTGCCTCTTGTCTTTTTCATTTTCACAGTGCAAAATGGCCCTGTCACAGCACCGATGCCTCCGCCTCCACCCCCACCACCTCCCCCTCCGCCCCCACCAGCCCCCCCTCTTCCTGGTCCAGCTGCAGAACCAGTGCCAGCGCCCCCACTCCCGCCCCCACCCCCACCGTCGGCACCCCCTCTTCCAGGAACAGCCTCCCCCACAGTCGTTTTCAACTCAGGATTAGCAGGTAAGAAGTAACAGTGTATCATTGGTGTGCTGTACAAGTCTAGACCCATTCAAAGAGTGGAGATTGCCTTCATTTATTTTGTTTTCAATGATGAAATGTCTATCTTGTTGAATAATTTATGAATCCCAGTGTCCCAAAGACTTGGCAGGTGATGGGAAAACGAACCTTTCTGGGAGATACATTGGACGGTTGATCCAAAACAGTGCAGAGTAGGCAATGCCAAGATCTTGACAAACAGTCAAGATCAATTCCCTGTGTTTCCTATAACTTGCATATGGACATATCTATTCAACTGGAAATAGTACATGTTTATTCAAACCACTTTAATCACAGGGAACCAGGATATTGTTTTTACTTTGGGAAAAAATAATGGTAGGTGAAGATTTGAAAAGCCCTGTCCCATTGTTGGTCTATGGTTCATTTGGTTTAATTTTGCAAGAGTAGAGCTGTGGTGAATAAAAAACTGGGTGGTCAGCATAGAAGTGGTAAATCTACTCTAGCACTTACCAATTTGAAGCTGCTCCAAATCCCTAATCCTGCATCGGAAATAGTCTAATTCCTCTCGGATCAGCTATAGAAAGAGTAGTAGCAAACTCTGGAGTGGATTAATCCCCTCTGTAGCATATCCACTAGCCACCCTTTCAGACTGAGTGTCATATGTAATTTGGATCTCGGAAGTGCATCATATGTCAAAAGGAGAGGTATGTCATTTGCTCTCCACTAGAACTGGCAGGCAGGTTATTCAAAACTACTCTCCTTTCTGAAATGACTTTCCTAGTATCTCTGATGCTGGCCTACAGGCATTCCAGGCATAGAATGCCTGTAGATCATTGTACAGATATTTTCATATCAGTACACTAAAATCTCTTAAGAATTAATAAATTTGTCTGAATTTAATTGATATTTTATTAGTTTGATAACAGTTGCATTATGAGGAGCTAATATTTTGCTCTTTTTAGGTATCTTATATAGTAGGACAACTAAGAGATTAGTCTTATCACCCCGTCCCATTCATAAAACTTACAGGATGCTTCCAAATGACTTTCACTTAGTAACTCAGCTATTCTTTCTTCTGCTGCTTCCTTCTGCTTACTAAAAATATGGAGGGGGATAGGACAGAAGAGCAGCAGGGTGTTTATCTAGAAGCTCGATTGCCTAAGTACTTTCATATACAAAGCAATGTAGGGATGAGCTTATTATATTGATGTCATGGAAATGGAAAATCAAGGAGAGGATGATTCATGTTTTTGAAGCCTCCACTTGAGGATTATTAGTCTTGCATTTTGTTTCTGAGTTGGCCAGTTCACATAAAATGCTCCTAATGCACTGATTCAGTGTTTCTCAGGTGGTGTTTTATGGCTTAGCAGTGTGTTGAGAATGAAACCCATCATGCTGCCAAGAAGCAAATGGGACCTAATTGTCACTCTATGGAAAATACTATAATGTACATAAGATGGAATATGGCTTTCCTTTCTAATAGTTTTTAAAAGCAGCCACCTAATTCTTGTTTTTCCATTTCCCCCTAAGTCTGTAAAGATTTTCATTCTTTTTAAAGATGGAAGTGGTGGGAAGCAAAACTCACAACACATTTTATAAGGAATATATAATTTATTGTGAAATAGCTGGCTTTTTCAAGCCATCCAATGCCATAGACGTCCTTCTTTAGTTGTTCTCTATATTCTTATTTAAAAACCAACATTTGGATGTCTCTTTGCTACTAAGAAATTTATTTGGCACCAGAGAAACTTCACTTAGCCAAATCTAAGGCTCTCCAGCAAACACTTCCTTTCCCCTTATCCCAAATATAGTCCAGCATCCAAATGTGTTCATTCTCTAGTAGTATATGTGAACTCGGCAAAGGAGACATTCAAAACCAGGATTTTAAAAGGCATTGCAATGTCTGGGTGGCTCCGCTCGGCCTCTTCTGATTCTTTCAGCCCAGAGCCTTTGGCTTGATTTTGTCATTAGTAACAGTTTTCCTTGTAAATCTGATGACCAGCCAGCCTGCAAATACTCTGTCTGTTGTCTTGCTACAATTAATACTGTTTTCTTTCAGTCGAGTGTGGCTTGGAGAAATATGAATCTTGATTCAGTCTCACCCATTAAAATCCATTCAATCCCCTCATTAATATGAAAAGCTTTCCAAAGTTTCTAAATATTTGTGAGTATGTTGGGCATAGTTGGAAGACCTCAGATCAGAGGCCTGAATATGGAACTGATGCTGAAGCCAGTGCCATTTACAACATCTCTTTTGAAAATGACAGCTACAAGGAACCAAAAAGAATTGCAGATATTTCACTTCAATGCATTCTGATGCCCAAGACTGAGGAAAATTTAACTGGAAGTGGCGGGAAACTGTCAAGTTTCACAGGGAAGGATCTTCCATGCCCTGGCCTTCAGAGGTTTAATGGCTGATATTTGCCTTAACTCACTTGTTATAGTTTCTTACACAAGATTATCTTTAGCAATAAAGTAGAAGAATGTGATCAGTAGTCAAAACAATCTAACATACGCTGCTAGGACTTTTTCAGATTCTTCAAATATTTTGAAATTGTAGTTGTTGAATGCAATTGAAGGGGTATGTGCATTATTTAGGCAATATATGATTCCCTTCATTGTGATTGGTTTCAACTTCACTGTTTTAGAGTTGGACATTACCAGTGGCAAATTGGTAGTAGCTCTTAGTCACATAATTTTTCTGTCCACTGGATTATATACATTGAAGATACCATTCTTACCCTTTCTGATTCAAAGTATTCAGATGGTAACCATTACCAGTCATAGGAAATAACAGGATTGGAAGCATCCTGGAAGGGCATGTAATCACAGATAAATAGACTGCGACTTTATAGCACTTTGCTGTAGCAAAAGGGAAATAGCCTGTTCCTCATTGCTGGCCTGTACTAGCAGGTTTGGTTACAACAAATTAGGATGAAAAGTGTAGTTTCCAAATAGCATATGTTTTACTATAAATTATGGTCCTGTACCATGGGATCATCATATGCCTGAAGCATAACTGTCAAAGTTATGCTTCAAATGCTGTGTTTTGTTTAAAATCTGCTTAGATGGAGTCAGAAAAAGGCTCTTGGTGGGCATATGATTGCCCATTGCATTTTATTACTCTGACAAAGTCTTATGTAGAGAAATTCATGTTGCCTGGGTGCAGGGGTGAACCTTTCGATATTGTTGGACTCCAGTTCCCATCGGCCCTAGGCGGCATGGTCAGCAGTCAGCAATTTTGGCATTTAATGAATGTATGTATGTATTTAAATATTGTACTCTGGAAATATTTGAATGGGTCACAGTTTACTTAACCCTTTCCCACTGGAGGAAGAGAGCTTAAATAACTATTTACACAGTAGAGAGTTCCTAGTATACTATATGAACTTCAGGGCATTTTTAAATATCTGTATGAACCTCATCTTGGAAAAAGATGGGATATTAAATAAAGAAACATATGATAGATAAAATTTCTGGGGAGAAGAACTGCAGCGTGGCCTTAAGATCCCTGTTTATACAAGCATAAAGTCAGATGTCATTTTCTTCTTATGATTCAATGACCTTTGTGTTTGTAATGATAGCTAACACTTCTCTTATTTATTTCCTCTGCTTCCTTATAAGATGGGCCAATCAAGCTTTTCTGTAGGTTTCTTTTTCCTAAGTATTTTACTTGCTTTTAAAATCCTTTTTTCTAATATTTCATTTTTTTCAGTCCTGTTACCACAATACATGTGTTTGTGTCATTTTCAAAATCAGCTTGCTGTGATTTTACATGATCTAAAAGCATGGGCTGTTTGTGAGATGTCTTAAAACATCGTCATGGTGCACAACTTCATAAATATATTATTTTCATTCAGTTTTGTGAATAAAATGCATGAAAGTTAAATATTATACAAATGTCTTCTGGGAAGGAAGGAATAAGAGAGTTAGTCCTCAATTGACACCACTCTTCTATATTCAAAGCTGACACCACAGACACCTTGTCTGAATCCAGTCTCTCTGGTGGATAGCATTTCTAGGGGCCAAAAGTGTATAAAAACAAACACTAATCTTTGTTTACAAGAGGTAAACATCACACCACAGACTGCACATTGAAAACATCAAGCACATTCTTGCTTTGGTTTGAATTGAGCAAACTACTCAACTCAAACCCTCTTTTTTCAGTCCAGCCTTAGTCTGACTCAAACTTGTCTCAAACATTTTTCTGACTTTATTCTACTCAAATCCTAGGCTAAGTATCTCCCCACCCAAATTGAACTCAAAACTGAAATGCACCTTCACCAGCTTTACGCAAATCTTTGCAAACATTCCACCAATCATCTATGTATTTCTTATTCTAATATATACACAATAAATCAAACAACATTTTCCAGTATCCAACCCATGACATCAACACTCCTGCATATGGGAGTTCAATAGTTTTTACAACAGGCATGGTATATTTGTCTTAAAAATGTTTGGTTCTCAATTTCTACAACCAATGTGGCCAAGGGTAATGCATTATGGGAGTTGTGGTTAAAACATTTGAGGATCCAAATGTTCTTCCACCCACTCTTATAATCCTCGCAATGATCCCTGTAATATAATTATCCTTTTTATTTGCATATTAAAGGGAGGGATAGCTCAGTGGGTGGCCTCGTGATTTGCATGTATTTATTTATTTATTTATTTTCTTTGCTTCTATACCGCTGTTCTCAGCCCGGAGGCGACTCACAGCGGTTCACAACACACAGGAAACAGCAAAATTCAATGCACCAATGTAGGATGTCCCAGGTCTTACTTCTGGCAGCTCACGTAAATCGGTAGCTTCACTTGTGCTAGATGATACTGGGCTGGATGGGCAAATAATCTGATGTGGTATAAGGCCATATGTGTTGTAAGTGGAAGGATGTGTTGTAGAAACCGTGATAAGTCTGTTGATTTTGCTGTTCAGCTGAAATCTCAACTGAACATTTTTACTTCACAGCATATGAGTTGGTTCATTGTGGTGGATAGCATTGGAACAGGGGAACAGAACACATGGACTTTCTGCCATGTGAATTTTGCAGGGAGTGGGTGGGGAAGCTGTCTGTTTAGCCTTTTCCTTGTCCGTTTCCTTTTTTTGCCATGGGTGCTACTTTTTTCCTTTTAGCTGACATGTGCCTGGTATTCACAGAACACAGTATTCAATGGTTTCTCCATTAAAAAAAAGGAATAGTACAGTACTTCAAGCCATATCATAATCCTTGTGCTTTATGCTAGGCCGTGGTTTTCCACCTGTGGGTCCCCAGGTGTTTTGGCCTACAACGCCCAGAAATCCCAACCATTTTACCAGCTGTTAGTATTTCTGGGAGTTAAAGGTCAAAACTTCTGGGGACCCTCAGGTTGTGAACCACTGTGCTAGAGATTAACAAAAATTAATTCTCATTTTGATACTTTCAAGTAAAAAGACTCTATGTGCCTTACCTGGTGTCTTTGGTGATGCAACCACACATCCAAGAAGATGTGGATTTTAAGCAAAATAAAGGATATGAGCTTTAACTCTGAAGTTGTTTTAGCCTTTTTAGTGTATCATGACATCACATAACATCATTGCATGACATCATTGCATGACATCAGCATCTGAGCTGTTTTGACAGCTCAGGAAAAAAACGGTCCTACAGAACAAAGAGATAAGTTCTAGATGAACCACTGCCCAGCTGTACATTACTGGATTAATTTGAAGTTAGTATACCTTCATTTGTAATCTCAAACTTTAAACAAGAAAGTTGGTGCAATGGTGGGATGGAAGAAGTTACTGAGATACCAAGAATGCTAGGATGTCGAATTCTTAAGAGCAGTGGTCCTCTGAGAATATTATTCAGTTCAAAGTAAGACCTGCTACTATGTTTTGCTTTATGGTGAACAGATGCCACCATAGCAAACTGTTTCCTGATCAATTGCATTCTTCATTTTCACTCTGTTGGCTAAAAAACTGCATTCAAAACTGGAGGAGTGAGCAGCAGTCCCTTTGTTGGATGTGTGAAATCCACAAAAGATGTTAAAAGTTTTCTAGCTTCTACATTAATGTCAGGTTGATATAACTGTATTCTAAATAATACCGATGGTGGTGAGCTAGTATTTTCCCTGCCTGTGATAAGACTTTATCTAAATTAACTAAATTACTTATCAATGGAAAGAAATCCACTTTAAAAAATCCTTTTATATATTAAATGTTCTCATGAACATTATGAAGGAATCTGCTTCAGATTGATGCCTACAATTAATGAATTACTAAGTACCAAAGATTTCCAGTGATTGACATTCCGTCAGCACTCTTGGCTGAAAACGAATGGCTTAAAGAGTCAGAACGTTTTTTCCCCCTTAGTAATTAACCTACATTTTTCTGCTTCAGCTTATTATACTTTGTCCATTAATAGTTAATAAGGAATGAATCCCTTCAGAAAAGATTTAGAAGACTAACACAGTGATCAGTCAAAGCAACCAATACCCCAAGAAGGAAGTACTGAGACTTGATAATGTTCCTTTTGATATTTAAAGAACAGATTTCAGCTTATTTAAAACAGCAGCAGCACTTTTTGCCTACTGAGCACTGCGATTTACAATTTCCCCTTGGGTATTTTGAAAATTGGAAATTGGGCTCTGCTTCTTGTGCCTCCAGAACATCATTTGTTTATGCCAGACTAACATTTTCAGACAGATTATGGACTCAAACCTGTACTTACAAAGACTGAGTGATACATTATGCAAATGTGACATACAGTGACTTAAATACCATCGGTGTCATAATGTTCTTCAGGCACAAATTATTCATTTGCGACCCATAACAACAGATGCAGAAACACGTGGGATCCCTGATTATACAAATGGGCCAGAGTCCACTTCGGCTGTGATCAGTGGGAATCTGTTCTCTTATCGATCCGAAAGCACCTGATGTATGGTCCCCTGTCACCTCACTTATGTAACCATCCCCTAATGGTTGCAGTGGTTGCTGCTTGGGAAGGGGAATTGGGAGACCTTTATGGTCTCATGGTGTAGGCAGGCATGGGCAAACTTCAGCTTCAACTCCCAGGAATCCCAGACAGACTACCAACTGATAAGAATTGTGGGAGTTGAAGTTCAAAACACCTAGAAGGCTGACATTTGCCCATGCCTGATGTAGTGGCTTAAGTATTGGACTATTTTATCTAGAACTGTAGTATCAGATTGAAAACTGCATGTATTTATATTAGAACATATTTACTTATATGACTGATAGGTGAACCTAATGAATTACACAAGACAGCCCAATCTTTGTAGACATTTGGTGGTGTTTATTTTAAGACTTGCTAGACTTCCTCCAGTGTTGAAGTGCCATCTCCCAGAGTTATTGTTGGATTGATCCAGGTGTGTGTGTGTGTGTGTTCTGGCACGATTGAAATGTATAATTAGACTCTCTGTTTTGTTTAAAGCTGTGAAAATCAAGAAACCAATAAAGACAAAGTTCCGCATGCCAGTATTTAACTGGGTAGCTCTGAAACCCAATCAGATCAATGGAACAGTCTTCAATGAAATAGATGATGAAAGGATTTTGGAGGTAGGAAACTTATACAATTATAATGGGGCAGGGGGCATGTGAGTGTGTTTTGAAGTTCTTCAAAAGTAAACATTATTACTTTCTATCAGTGAAGTGAGTTTTAATGAGTTTTAAACATTAAATCAGTAAGTTTCTACTTGATGGCCTGACTTAAATTTAGGTGATCCGGGGTATAGTATGAATTTTAAAAGAGGTGGATGCTGAACCAGTTTTGAGGACAGAGTTTACTATCCCCACTGACTCAGAAGCTATCAGATGCAAGTGGTTGCCATTTAGTAGTCTAGATACTGAGACTATTAAACACTTTCAGAGTAGGTTCCCATCAGATTCTCTTCTAGATCATGGCTCACAAGATCCCAAAGTTTACAAAAACACTGCTCTCCCATTTTAGGGAGAACACTTGAGCCGGGGGTGGGGGCACACAGTGAAGAGTGAATATGGCCACACAATCCTGACTGAAGATATCGGAAAAGCCAGAGGATTTGTGATCATAGTCTTCAGCTCTTAGTAACAAGGCAAACTGTTTCCATAGAGGAAGAGGTCCATAGAAGTCATCTTCTCCTGACTGGTGAAGAAATCAACACTAGTGTGCCAACTCTGTTGTTGCTGGTCCAGTGGCAGAGCAACAATAGCACTCTTCCCTAGGCATCCTCTAGAATAGAGGGTAACTGGAGCTGGCGTGTTTATTTTCCATCCACATTGTAAAGAGTTAGGGATGGAGATTTAAAAGACACTCACTAAAGAAAACAATTGAAGGGAAAGCCTCCTCCTAACACACCTCCCAAGGCCCAACAGCATGGAACGGGTTTTCCACTATAGATTCTTTAGAGGATTATTTTGCCTGCTTTATAAACTACTTTCATTTTGACTTGGTTTTTGTCATAGGATTTAAACGTGGATGAATTTGAAGAAATATTCAAGACAAAAGCCCAAGGTCCAGCCATTGATCTTTCTTCAAGCAAGCAAATAACTCAAAAAGGATCAAACAAAGTAACGCTATTGGAAGCAAACAGAGCAAAAAATCTTGCCATCACTTTAAGAAAAGCTGGGAAGACATCTGATGAAATATGCAAGGCAATTCAGGCGTAAGTAAAAAGGGATGTAGAATATACTGTCCAGTAGTATTTCAGAATTGGACTAAATTTTAAAAACTAGTTTGATGAGATATTGGGCTTTTGTGCCATAAATTTCTAGGGCACATTCCAGTGAACTATAGATAGCACCAGAATTCTCTAGCAGAGAATTCTAACTATTCTAACTATTAAACTACAAATTCCAGAATAATTAGGATAACTGTGCCATGTAGATAATTCTAAATCACAGATGCCTTTTTAAAATGTGTCAATTGCATTTGGGTTCAGGTAAAAATACAGATGCAAATAAACATAACATTGATTTATTATCATTCTTTATTGTCACCTTGGTTGTGCATGTGTTCACACACACACAAACCATTCCTATTTAACCTGTTGTGAAACTCTGGAGCAGAAAGAATAAAGCAAAATAGAAATGTAATACTGGATTCAAAATGAAAGGCAAAATAAAGCAGAACCCTCCCTGCCTCCCAGTGTTTCCCCCATTCCCCCAAAAACCAGACTAATCAGAATCCAGTGTTGCAAACTTTCTGTCATCAAATGCTAACTTCTCTGGCAATCTAAAATCAATTTGAAGCAAGATTAACCTAACAAAGTATCAGTTCAAAATTGATGTCCAGACAACCCTGCAGTACATTTTTGTTCCTGACATTTCATATTTATGAATGTGCAGTTGGCTGTCTGTATTCACTGATTCTAAAAATATGTTTATATATCTATATCTATACATATCATAGTTTGTGCCATTTTATATAAGTGACAACATTATGCCATTATACACAATGGGATTTCAACATCTACAGTCCTGACACCAAACCACCGTGGATATGAAGGATCCACTATATAGAAGTTTTAGAAAATATATTATAACCAGAAAATGTACTCTAGTGCTCCTGAAGGAATATAATCATTTAATTAAAATGCAGCTTATTTTTGCCAGCTTTGAGAGTGGGTTCCAATAAGCATAGGCATTTGGTATCGTCACTGTTTCATTTATTTCATCATGAAAATAGTAATCAGAGTTCTGATAGCTTAGGAAGGGAGACAGTGAAGCACTGCAGCCCAGTTCAACCTATGAAATATGAAGTGGTTCTTGTTCCCTGGAAATACTTTCCATTTATTTCAAACAGCTTCTTGGGCCTACAGTAACTTTATTGGCCTGCCAAGCTTAAACAGATAGTTTTATACATTGCAATTGCAGTCATTCAAAGGCAAGTATTTAAGAACATATGTTCATAATTTACCTTTGTTGTATTTTCCCCTGCACTTCACATGTTGACTTCAGGAAACTCCAGTGTAAAATTGATGTTGTATGAAGTGTGACATATCTGACATAACTATATAATTGATTTGTAACTTTAATAATGCAAATAGATGAGCAATCTTATGGAAATCAGGGCCCGGATGTTGCTGAAAATAGCCCATTCTGATTCCTATACTGTAAGCATTGAGTGCTAACAAGCTGTATTTTACTTCTCATTGACTAGATTTGATCTGAAGACCCTTCCAGTAGATTTTGTTGAATGCCTAATGAGGTTCTTGCCCACGGAAAATGAAGTGAAAATGTTGCGGCTTTATGAGCGGGAGAGAAAACCACTTGAGAACCTTTCAGACGAGGATCGGTTCATGATGCAGTTCAGCAAGATCGAGAGGTTGATGCAAAAGATGACCATCATGGCCTTCATTGGCAACTTTGCAGAAAGCATCCAGATGTTGACTCCAGTGAGTGGGATAAAGAGCTTAGAACCTTCTCTAAAAGGGAACTAGAATTGAATTCTAAGGATTGAACTTAAGGATAGGTTACATTTAGGCACTTTCTTGCTAGAAATGGGCTTTTTATGTGTTTTGATGTATCTGTGTCCATTTAAATCTCCTCTCTGGATTCCCCTAAAGGCATTAAGGTGGCATTTCCTTATTTTCTTTCTGATCCCATTTTTGACCCTATCCTAATTTTTTTGAAGTAGCAAAAGTGGGAAATTGCATGGGATATGGCATTGATGCTACCGACAAAAGAGGGTTTTAATAAAATTAACATCTTATGCAAGTTGAATGACTTTCCCATATAACTAAGATTGTATCCAGGCCATCCTATGTAGTCATTGTGTTATTTTGCACTTAGTTTTAATGTTATTTCTTGTGCTTATCTTTAGCAACTTCATGCAATAATTGCAGCATCTGTCTCAATAAAGTCATCTCAGAAGCTCAAGAAAATACTAGAGGCAAGTATCATTATACTAATTCATTTTGGTCCTTAGGGGAAAGTAGACTTAAGCTAAAAATGCCCCTTTCATTTCAATTACTTGGTTAATCCTTACCATTTTTTTCTTTTGGCTTCTGCAGATAATCTTGGCTCTGGGTAACTATATGAATAGCAGTAAACGAGGAGCTGTTTATGGATTTAAACTACAAAGCTTAGATTTGGTAAGCAGTGATACATCCTCAATGAACTAACTTTGCTTAGGACATTGTTTTTGGATCTCCATGAATTTGCATTGCCCATATGAGTTACTACTGTGCAAGAAAGAATGGTGAAGTAGTAGTGAGGAAAGGAGGAAGCCATAGGCTTATTTCTCAGCTTGAAAAAATTCATCTTTTTTTGGACTACACTTCCCAGAATCCATTAATCAGCATACTTTTAGTATGCTGACTAAAGGAGTCATTTTTTCCCAGTCTTATCCAGTCTTGTTAATTACGTTTTCAAAACTTCATAGTATTAGGACTCCCTAGGCTGTGTTTTCACCATGATGATTTTTCCTGCACTGTCAGACATAGATATTAGAGATATAAAGAATTTAAAATTATCTCAAGTTTCCAATTGCAGAAAATTCCATTTTGGACTTGGCTGCTTTCTGTCAGCTTCTGTTGTATAACAGACTCTCAACATTCTTGACTATGACAATGTTTTGATTCATAATTTTTCAAAATAACATGAAAGAGTACAGATGGAGTATGAAAAAATACATTTAGTTAATAGATAGAGTATTGCTGCCTGTTTTCAGCTGTAGCCTCTGAGTGGATTTTGTTTTTCCTATAAATATACTCAATACCAAAAGTAAACTATTACAATTTAAAATATTGACCCTGTTTCAGTTTTTTGTGGTAAAATTAGGTGCCTTGGCTTATATTTGAGTCCGCTTATACTCGAGTATATACGGTGCTCTAGTTGGGCCTAGAAGTTGGGTTTAGGTCTTTAAAATTATGAAAAAACAAAACATCTAGAGTAGTTTAAAAGCTTACATTTGAAAAAGTAGTGAGAGGGGGGTGATGTGGATAGCAGTCAAGAATTATAGCTTTTCCTAGCTATGGCCTAATCTAACATGTTTCCTTTGATTCTTTGCAGTTACTAGATACAAAATCAACAGACAGAAAACAAACGCTATTGCACTATATATCAAATGTTGTGAGAGACAAATACCAACAAGTATCACTTTTTTACAACGAACTTCACTATGTGGAGAAAGCTGCTGCAGGTAATGTGTCCAAAATTCAATTCTCAACAATATAAAATTCAGGATGAGTTGCATTCATTGAGCAACTCAACAATGAACTCAATACATATACATAGACCCTAATACATCTACCTTGAATTATACTCATTGCTATGGGCAGATATGCATCTTAAAAGGATGTAACAAGTATTACAATTCACAGAGATACCATAATTTTTTAAAAGTATTTTTATCACTCTGATGCAGGTTTGAAGACTTCTGCTCTTCAGCTCCATGTTTTAATATCAAGAGCAGCAATACCTACTGGCGAATCTGCACTTAAATTTTCCAGGGCTTATGGTAGATGAATCTGCAAGTTTTGCTCCATGAAAACCTTTGAATCAGTAGTGGTTAAATGTGCTCCTCCAGGTCTATGTGGACTGCATCTCCCACAATCCCTTACTGGTTATTACTGATGGGAGTTGTAGGTCAAAACCATCTGAAAGTGATTACTATTCGCTGCAGTAACTGGTGGTTTTAAGATTCAAGCAGGCCATGCACACCACTTTTGCTATTAAAATTTTAAAGGTATTTTGCTTTCTTTCCTCTTTAGTATCATTAGAAAATGTTCTGTTGGATGTAAAAGAACTCCAAAGAGGTCTGGACCTAACAAAACGTGAATACACCATGCATGATCACAATACCATGCTGAAGGAATTCATTCAGAACAATGAAGGGAAGCTAAAGAAGTTACAAGATGATGCAAAAATAGCCCAGGTATTCCCTGCACCTCATCTGTTACCATATTACCACAATGTCTCATTCTTTCAAAGCTGAAAACAATGCTATCCAAATAGGCAGAATATACTGTTTTCCCCCTTAGTGGTCACTATATCAGATTAGGACAGAGGAAACCCAGGTTCAAGATCCCAAATGACTTTACTGGGTAACTTTGAGGATAACCGACTTCACAGAAAGGTGAAGGTGGAATTGAGAATGGAAGAAATCCATGAATGCTTCCTAGGGGAGAAAGGGGATGAAAATGTAGCAAATTAAAAATGCAATGCAAACTATGTCCTTATATAACATATTTGTATCTGGATGTATATCAAGTATGGGCAGTCTGAGAGTTACCAGATTGTGCTACACTGGAAACTTTTATAAGGAAACGCAGCCAACTAGGAGGGAAGATGAGAGTTGGAGGGCCACCAGTTCCCCAGCCCTTTTATGCACAGTAAACCCATTGTAGATAAGCCAGTTCTTCTACTTTTATCTTCCTTCCTTATAAAAAAAGTCATGCTGAAAAAAAGCCAAGCATTGCCTAGACCAGAGCTTCTTAAGCTTTTGCACTCAGAACCCCTTTTGACCTGAAAAAAAATTATGTGACTACAGTGTTCTCTCACTTATCGCGGGGGTTCTGTTCCAGGAGCTCTCGCGATAAGTGGAAATCTGCGAAATAGGGATGGTCCGGCCACTCAGCGGTGGCCTCCTCCTCTTCACCGCCTCTGCTGCTCCTGGCTTTGTAGGCCCCTTGGGCGCCCTTGGTGGTGCTTCCAGGCTGGTCTGGCAGTGTCATCAAAGGAGCACAAGGGACTTCTGAAGCCAGGAGCAGCACAGGCAGCAAGGAGGAGGAGGCTGCTGCTGAGTGGGTGGAGCCTCCTCCTCGCCACCTTCTTCTCTGAAGAAGGAGCAGGGAGCAACGGAGGTGATGAGGAGGAGCACCTGGCTCCCCTCCCCTGCTCCTCTTCCTCCCCCTCCCCTCCCCCGCCACTTGGGGTGGGGGAGAAGAAAAAAAACCTCAATGTGGCAAGTCCGCATAAAGTGAACTGCGAAGTAGCGAGGAAACACTGTATATAGGAATAAAAACCACACATTTACTGATAACAAACCAGCATTTGCAGGGCTTGCTAAGCAGACTGATTTTCCTTTTTATAAAGTATCGCTGAAGCATCTTCTGTAGAGTTTCCTGTAAACACTGCACAACAGATTCATGTATATGTCTCAAACAGCCCCTAGGTGACATTTAGAAAAATACTTTGGAACCCCAGCAGTGAGCTAAGGGGACCCCAAATGGAGTCAGGACCCACAGCTTAAGAAGCGGTCGCCTAGACCACTATATTTCCCATTGTGACCAATCTGATGTCTACGGCATTCATGTTTGGAACTAATATTAGAGTCAAAGAATATCAGCAAATCACCCTAACTAAGTGGTTCTCAACCTTTGGGTCCCCAGATATTTTGGTCTTCAACTACCAGAAAACCTAACAACTCATAAACTAGCTGGGATTTCTAGGAGTTGTAATCCAAAGCACCTGAGAACCTACAGGTTGAAAACCTGTATGTATATAGAACTATTATATACATACATACATTATCCATGGAAAATTCTTTCATTTTTTTGTCCATCTTTCCCTTTTAGTTCCTGTCTTCCTTTCCTTTCTGTGCCCTATTAATTAGTGCCAAGGTTGTATCTTGTTTGTGAAAAGTCTCTGTCTTCCAGGATGCCTTTGATGATGCTGTGAAATATTTTGGAGAGAATCCCAAGACAACACCTCCATCTGTCTTCTTCCCAGTCTTTGTCCGATTTGTGAAAGCTTACAAGGTAAACAAAAATGTAAATCATATCTCACATTAATCATTTGAATTATGATTGTGCTATTTAGACTCTGTGGCTGTGTCATTTTGTTGTGCACAGCAGGCCAAAAAAGAGAGGGTTGATCGCCAACTCCATGCTCCACAATAACTACAAAGAAAACAATTGGTTGCATTATTTTAATTAAAGTGCCTACAGTGAAGATTTATTCATCCCTCATTCATTTTGTTAGTTGAGAACAGTGGTCGTAGTACTTATGGACTAAGCCAGGACTACTTAAACTTTTTCCACTCATGACCCCTTTCCACTCAAATATTTGTTTGAGCCCAGGTATATAGGTATATAAAATAGCTATAAAAATAAAACATTTGCTGATAATAAATCAACATTTCCTAGGCTTGTTAGACAGATTGTTTTTCCTTGTTGTGGATTACAGCCGAAGCATTTTCTGCAGAGTCCACTGTAAACATGGCATGTTGTTGCTAACAGATTTGTGTAAATACGTGATTTTCAGAAATCTTTTACTGGTGCCAATTTTTTCGTGAACCCAACATTGAGCTAAGTAGGTCAAGACCCACAGTTGATGAAGCAGTGTGCTAAACTATAATAAAACTAAAATCACTAAAATCCCCTAAAGTCCAAGAGTAGGCAACTTGTATGCTGCTAGATGCTGCTGGACTGTAGTTTCCATCAGCCCTAGTTATCAGCAAGTCAGTAGTGAGACTCACAAGTGAGCATTCCTTTTTTATTGACATGCGGATGAGTTATGATTCTGGAAAACTAAAGGGATACTATAGTGACGTCCTTTTATGTCCTTTTAACTCTTCGGGCTTTACCACAATACAACTGGTTGCTATACTAGTGGATATGCTTTTTTCAGTGTTGTGTAAGGAAGTAACTTTGCGTTTCCTTACACAAAATATTTGATTAGCAGTATGTTGGGTACTGGATGGTGCTCAGTCACCACTTCATCCCTGACCACTGACAGAGACGCTCCATGAAAGTGCTTTTCCGCTACAGATGGACTGGCTGTATCAGTCCTCTCTGTCCAGCACTTGGAACTCTGCATAAGTGTGTCTGTGAAACATGCTCCACTATCTTCATTCCACCTCTTGGGCTTCTTTTCTTCCCAAGGAGGAGAACATTGGTAGCCTGCTCAAATTTTGTGTTTGCTTATTGGATAAAACTAGTGGAAACTTTTATGTATATGACAGAATGAGAGAACTGAAGGTTGGTGCCAGATAGCACACATAGGATTGGATCCACGCAGAATTGATTCTAACAGGTTTTCACAGGCTGCCAGAAGGAAAAGGAACTGGAAATTCAGTTTCCACTAGCCCCATTAGTGTAAACTTTTATGTAGATTAACTGGAAATAAATTGTGGGAAGCATCAGACATATAGTTAATGTGTTGTCCGAGGCTTTCACGGTCGGAATCACTGGGTTGTTGTACGTTTTTCGGACTATATGGCCATATTTTAGAAGTATTCTCTCCTGATGTTTCACCTGCATCTATGGCAGGCATCCTTAGAGGTTGTGACCTCTGAGGATGCCTACCATAGATGCAGGCAAATCTTCAGGAGAGAATACATCTGGAACATGGCCATACAGCCTGAACAACCTACAACAACCCATATAGTTAATGACTTATACTACTTTTCTGAAAGAATTCAAATGCGGTGCTATAACAAATGGAGGACTTTGCCCCATTTTTCAGATGACATATTCACGCTGAATTGGTATTGGTGGGTTTATGATGTGCAGAGTCAGTTTGAAATTAATTTAATTCCATTGGAAGCCATGGCCTGCTCTTATTGGTTTGTATTTTCTTTGAAACTGTGAACAGCAAGCTGAAGAGGAGAATGACCTGAGGAAAAAGCAAGAGCAAGCGTTGATGGAAAAACTTCTTGAACAGGAAGCCTTGATGGAACAACAAGACCAAAAGGTAGCAAAGAGCCAAGTCTTCATAATTAATTTCAGTGATGAATATGTGAAAGTGTTAAACTTATTATTTAGAATGAACAAAATAGCAGTGGTCCAAACATCTGTCCTGGTGGTTTTTAATGATGCCACATTATTCCGATATTCAAGCTTATTTTATAAATTCCAGAGTGTTTTGTACTTGTTATTTTCTAGTCCTTCAATCGTGGAACAGCATTTATTATCTTAAAGTCATTTCTCACAATGGTTGGAATTTGTTCTGTTCTAAAGGTGTTTTCCAAGAAGTCTTGAATATTTATCTCAGGCAAGCAGTTTCGTAACTGCAGGAGATGGAGTGCTTGCACATACATTTGCAGTAGCCAAATATGAAGGACATTTGGCCAGGGAAAAAAAACATTCTCCTCTATTTTATTTATTTTGTTTGAGCCTCAATTTTCCAGACTTGGTGTAGGAGACCTTCATTCTAATTTCTTCTAGCTACAGAGATAGCCATGTTGACTACAAGGCAAATTTCAAAGCCTATCTTCCAGATATTGTTTTAAAAAATTAGGCCAACTAAAGAGGCCTAAAATTCAGTGTAGTGATTTTTCTAAGCTCAGTTTCTTCATCAGCTTCAGAGGAAGGCAAACACAAACCCTCTCTGAACAAACCTTTCCAAGAAAACCCCATGATAGACTTGCCTTAGCAATGGCTTGGGTTTCTGTTGGGTGTTTGCACCCTCCTATTGTATTCTTGCCACTGCAGATACAAAAAAAATTACTACCAGTGTTGCCAGTAAAGAGCCCTGTGTGAGAAGTACTAACTTCATTATTCACAGATATGAAATAAAAGGCTTAAAGTTTTACTTAGTGTACAAAAACATGTGATTTTAAAAAAGCATTTTTCATATGTTATTGTTGTTCATATAAACAATGACCAGCTTAACCTGCCCAGCTATGTCTTCTGAATCTACCCTTGCCACTTAACCATATGGTGAGCCTACTCCCTCCCCATAACCTCCACACTTGACAACAACCACACACCAATGGCTCCTTTCAATTGCTGCCCACCTGTTTTGTGTTTCAAGCTCTCAACTAGTCACCAACCAACCATTTCCAACATTCTGAACACTTTCTCCCCAAAATATCTTAAAATATCCCATGAGTTTTATGATTGCAGTGGTGGCGGTCTGCCTTCAAGTTTTGCCCCAGATATAAGACAAAACCATCACGGGGTTTTCTTGGTAAGATGTGTTCAGAGAGAGTTTGCCTTTGCCTTCCTCTGATACTGAGAATGTGTGAATTGACCACGGTCATCCAGTAGGTTTCCATGGCCAAATGGGGATTTGAATCCTAGTCTCCCAGAGTCCTAGTCCATCATTCAAACCTCTCTGTCGCACTGGCTCCTCCAAGAGGCTTAGATACGAACTGAGATGACATCACAGAACAGGTTACCTTATATTAATCCACAGAATATATACACAAAATTTATATAGGCAGTAGGTAGGTCTACAGAAGCGACACTTGTCAGGGAGGGGCAGCATCACAGTGGTAGAACCCATGACTGATATAGGAAACATTCCACATTCACTAACTGCCTTTAGGTAGATCTGGGAAATACTTCTGCTCAATCTCAAAGACATCACTGCTTGTCAATGCAGATAATAGTGAGCTGGATGTACTAATGACTGCAGTCAGTTTAAGGCATTTTCCTCTGTTCCCCACCAAGCTAAGGTTTCTGTAGGAAGAGTAGGAAGAGAAATCCAAGAAACATCCGGTCCAACCCCTTGCCATGCAGGAACACACAATCAAAGCATTCCTGACAGATGTTCATCCAGCCTCTGCCTAAAAACTTCCAGAGAAAGAGATTCCAGTGTACTCTGAAGTAGCATCTTCCTCTGCCAAACAGCTCTTACTCTCAGGATGTTCTTCCCAATGTTTAGGTGGAATCACTTTTCCTTCCATTTGAGTAGATGTACTGCTGTCTAGGGCAGTGTCCCCCAGGTGTTTTGGCCTACAACTCCCAGAAATCCTAGCCAGTTTACCAGTTAGGATTTCTGAGAGTTAAAGGCCAAAACATCTGGGGACCCACAGGTTGAGAACCACTGGTCTAGGGTGACCACATGAAAAGAAGCCAAGGCTCTTGGACCTTCAACAGCTGTTTGGAAGAGGGATTTTCAGCAGATGCTTCATTTACTGACACCTCCTTTTGTATGCAACTCCTAAACGTAGAAGAACCCTATCCTTTTTTTCCCCACATGGTCACCTTACTGCCTGCTCATTGGGTATCATTGTCTGCTAATGACTGACTTTTTCTGCTTCCTTTCAGTCTCCATCTCATAAAACGAAAAGACAGCAGCAAGAGCTAATTGCAGAGCTCAGGCGGCGGCAAGTCAAAGACAACAGGCATGTGTATGAAGGGAAGGACGGTGCTATTGAAGACATCATCACAGGTAAGCCTTACTATAAAGATGGCTTTTCTGAAGACAGTCCCATGTGTCTGTTTTGAGCTTTCACTTTTAAGATCTCTGTTAAAGCATTACGAATTGCTTGTCAGTGCCAATAATCTGATGTATCAGTCATTAAAGAAAAAACCAATTACCAGATGTTATTTTTTCCACAAACACCAGATTTAAAGGCCCCATCAGTGGCAGAGTTCTCACTGAGATACCATTTGTTTACCAATTTCTCTTGTAGTTGTCTTTCTTTTCAGCATGCTGCCATGACTAAAGCCGTAGATTGTATCAAGCCTTGTCAAATATGTCTGTGCAAAAGATGCATGCCATATATATTTTCTGAATACGTTTGAACTACATGTAAACTTGCTGGCTTGGTTTTGAAAGTGTGCCTTGTCCTTCAAATGCTACTAACAGTAATTACTGCAGCACTAAATACCTAATAGAGGACATGGTTTGATTTGGATTGCAAAATGGTTTAGAGTTGAATATTCTTCTTGCAACATACTAATACTTGCCCTCTTCGGCAATCCATAATTGAACACAAGTGGGTGACCATGGCTGGGTCAGATTTATAGTAGAGATAACCAGGACATTCCTACCACAAAACAGGTTATGTGCTAAACTGTAATTTTACTGACTTCTATGGCAACAGTAGAGTGGAAGCAATAATTAACAGCGAATTATGATTTTCTTGGACCCTCTGGTGGCACAGCGGTTTAAACTGCTGAGCTGCTGAACTTGTTGACTGAAAGCTTAGTGGTTCGAATCTGGGGAACAGGGTGAGCTCCCGCTGTTAGGCCCAGCTTCTGCCAACCTAGCAGTTTAAAAACATGTAAGTGTGAGTTGAACAATAGGTACAGCATCTGCAGGAACATAAAGGTGCTGCATGCAGTAATGCTGGCCGCAAGATCTTCGAGGTGTCTACGGACAATACCGGCTCTTCGGCCTAGAAACGGAGATGAGTGCCACCTTCCAGAGCCAGACTCGACTAGACTTAATGACAAGGGGAAACCTTTATCTTTACTTATGAACCACTTTCTTGGCATTTGGAAGGATTGCACATTTCCCTTCAATTTGATTCTCAGTAGTAAGCTTCTGAGTATATAAAGTAATAACAAATGCTACAATTGACACTTTTTTGAAAAGCACACATGCAAATCTGCAGAAAACCCTGTTCAAGCAGGACTAAATTACAATGGTAAGGAAATCTAGTGTGTCTGTTGTTCCTTGGGTGAAACCTCAGCTGGGTTTTCGTAGCAGTTTTGTTTTCTTAAGATCCAGGGACAACCCAACAATGGTGATCAGAGGGGAAGGTCCGTGCCAAAGAAAAGAATGCTGACATAAAACCTCCTTAATGCTACAGTCATTTAAATATGTTGCGATTACAGAATGCTAATTCTAGGAGTAATCCAGCCTAAAAAATCCTCTTGTGGTTAAATGACTGAGGAGTCAACTCTAACCGCTCTGAATAGAGAGCACTAACAATGTACTAAATGCCATAGATCTTTGCTTCTTACTGTATTCTGTCTTGTTTGGCTGTTATTTTCCATGCAGTGCTGAAGACGGTGCCCTTTACCGCTCGAACGGCCAAGCGTGGCTCTCGGTTCTTCTGCGAACCTGTTCTCACAGAGGAATTCCATTACTAAACTATTCCTCTTTCAGACCCGGTGCTCTTAAAAAACAAAAAAGGTTGCTGTAGGTTTTTTTTTTAATATTTGTGTATGCACTTGTGTAAGGCCATGTACCTGTTGAATGGTTTTGTGATGTTTGGCATCCTCTTGGAGCTGTGTTTACATTGTCATCTCATTGCACGTTCTTGCCTGCCAGTAAACCTTTTGCTCCTTTCCATCGGACATGGGACCGTTCCCACCAGCTTTAGCATTTCAGAGGCACCCTTGGTTTATGTGCTAAGCACCATAGAACAGCAAGTGCTGGAAGCCACAGAGATCAAGAACAGCTGCGCTTCAAGCCAGCCCACCCAATTTGCAAGCGGGTTTTATAGAACATAATGATATATGTGACAACTATCCACTTGGTTTACTCATGTCATCTCTTCTGGGCTCTTCCATCCTTCTTAGCAAACTGATTTGTGTTGCATGAGTCCTGTTCAGTGAAACCTATCTCCAGAAGTAAATCAAGAATGGATGAAGCCAAACTTTCATAGATGTGGCATTGTGGCATGAGATCTCTAAGAGCATTTCCCGCATTTGGCCCCTCTAACCATTGCTTGCATGCTGTGTTTGCCTATGAGACCGGAATAAAACAAATAAGTGAGCCTCGAAACCTCCATTTCCATCCTGACACCTCCACAGTCATACCAGCTTCAGTTCCATGCCAACTTAATTGGAAACCTCCTTAGAGCAATGTCATAGAAACATGTAACTTTATGCCTTATCTGATCTGTCCTGGTGCGAAAGGGAATGAACAAAACCAGGACCAAGAGAGATCAAAATACTGGAAATGGATTTTGTTTTCTCAACCAGACATTAACAGGGCATTGGAGGTTAGGAAGCTGTGGCCATCCCAAAGTTGTGCCACTTCAGCTTCCATTAGCTCCATCAGCATGGTCAATGATAAGAAATTATGGGAGTTGTAGTCTGATAACTTGGGGAGCACCCCCTCCATTGATTTGCATCAGTATTTAATCATTCATTGATTTGCACCAGTATTTAAACAAGCAAACCCAAAATCCAACAGAAGCATGCGAAGCTGCTGCCTCATTCGGCAGCTCTTCAAATATACAGAGCTATACATATACTGGGGAAGTTTGGATATGTCAAGAAGGAGCCCCTGGAGGCGCAATGGGTTAAACCGTTGTGTTGGCAGGACTACTGACTGAAAGGTTGGCAGTTTGAATTCGGGGAGCGGGGTGAGCTCCTGTCAGCTCCAGCTTCTCATGCGGGTACATGAGAGAAGCCTCCCCAGGATGGTAAAACATCCGGGCATCCCCTGGGCAACCTCGTTGCAGATGGCCAATTCTTTCACACCAAAAGTGACTTGCAGTTTCTAAAGTTTCTCCTGACACACACACACACACACACACACACACACACAGAACCAAAGAGATACAGTGGGGATATCAGGACTGTCTCTCAAAATTGCCTGGCAATAATAAGTTGTCCAAAGTTCATTGTCATGGAACTGGATCCTTTTACATCACACAATGTAAACTGTTAAATAGCAGTGCATGTTTCTGCATGTATCTCTCAATGTTGTTGTCTTGGATGCAAGACCCAAGGATCGTCAAGGAAGCACATTTCATTTCTGACTGGTGCGGTGTGTACGTTTTAATGGGAACGCTTCAATACGAATGCTGACCATAACCATATCAGTTCCTGTTTGCTCTTTCAAGTGCCGCTGTCATCCTGGAGCCAGTGTTCAAAGCAGCTCGGAGTTTCATGAGTCAGAGTTTAGGGTGGCTGCCTTCTCCTCTCCTGTCCCTTTTTAACCCCTTTCAAGTCTTGGCTTCCCCCCCCCCCCCCACTCTTGCTTGACTTTGCTAACCCATGTGGGATTTTTTGGTTTTATTTTTTGCTTTTTGGACACTGAATTGAGTTGCTCTTCATGTTCCATCCCATTTTAACTTAACCATCATTCTGTGTTTTTTTCCCTTCTGTTTAGCCCTAAAGAAGAATAATATCACTAAATTTCCAAATGTTCACTCGAGGGTAAGGATTTCTTCTAGCACACCGGTGGTGGAGGATACACAGAGCTGGCAAGCATCACTTTTTACTTAGCTTCCTCCTCTCTCTGTATGCCACACAAAAACTGCTGCAAAACACAGTGATTTAAAGGAGTGCTATATGCTGTAAGGGTGCCAGGAGCATTGCTGATGCTTTTTAGGTCTCTCTTCTATATCAATGTGGGATTGGTCAACCCGCAGCTCTGTTCTGCACTGAATAGCAAGAGGGTCAAATCACAAGTCTAGAGATTGGATCACCTCCAGATACTCAGATGGACATTGGTTATAGACCTGTGTATACTGATAGGTTGTAGGTTTGAGCACAACACAGCAGGAGTGTGTGAAGGGAAGACAAAAGCACATAAACAGAATTACTCTCCTTTTTTAAAAAGACTGTTCTTACATTTTTAGCAGCCCAACATACAGAAATATAGCCACTGAGACTTTGCCAGGAACAGGAATGAAATGAAAAGTCTGGCCTGGTATATTTTTAAATGTTGAATGTTTTTAAAGACAGAGGCCCCTATCCAGTCTAGAATTACTATACACAAAATGTCAGCTGTGCTACCTAAATGTAGGCCCACTGGTAGCGCAGTGGGTTAAACCACTGAGCTACTGAACTTGCTGACTGAAAGGCCCAGTACCTCAACAAACCTAAGCCTTTCAGTAAATCCTGAATTTGTTGAGGTCTTTAATGAATGAGGAGTAAACTTGTAGCTGGAGGCCCCCGGTGGCACAGAGGAATAAACTGCTGAGCTGCTGAACTTGCTGACTGGAAGGTCGGTAGTTCAAATCTGTGGAGCGGGGTGAGCTCCCACTTTTAGACCCAGCTTCTGCCAACCTAGCAGTTTGGAAACATGTGAATGTGAGTAGATCAATAGGCACTGCTTCTGCACGAAGGTAATGGTGCTCCATGCATTCATGCTGGCCACGTGATCTTGGAGGCGTCAACAGACAACGCTGGCATCACTCCTCAGAGTTGGACATGACTAGATTTAATCTCAAGGGGAAACCTTTGCCTTTACCTTTTACTTAAATGTGGGAACAGACATGTAGGTTTCTACCAGTTGGGAACTGGCACAGCCACATGAGGCATAGTAAAATAACTGAAGGATTTCTGTGTATAGACAGAAAGCTAGCCAAGAACAGAGAAATACTTTTTGAAAAGTAGACATAAAACACAAACATCCTAACTGGTGAGAGTACATCTAGTATGATGACCTTGTTACTTCACAACATTCATTCATTCATCCAATCCATTTCATGTATATTGTTCCTTTCCCTTGCAGTGGGGCCCATGGCAGCTCCCCAAAAGAATCCGCTAAAACTTAATAATTTAAACACAATTAAATAGGTTAACCCTTCATGGTAAATTGGAAATTCCACATTGGTTATTTATTGGGAAAGTGAATTATAGGCTGTTGAAAAGAGGCATCCATGCAACAAGATTAAAAAGATAAAGCACAGAGACTAAGAGAAGCAAAGGATCTCAGAATAAGGAACAAACAAGAAGGGAAAGGACAAAGGCGCTCTGCTGTGGGCCCAGCAAGCAAGGAGTTGCCTCAGGGAAGATAGCTGTATGAGAGGGAGCCAATCTGCTTTAGAACAGTGTTTCTCAGCCTGCGGGTCGGTACTCCTGGGGGGTTGCGAGGAGGTGTCAGAGGGGTCGCCAAAGACCATAAGAAAATACAGTATTTTCTGTTGGTCATGGGGGTTCTGTGTGGGAAATTTGGCCCAGTTCTATTGTTGGTGGGGTTGAGAATGCTCTTTAATTGTAGGTGAACTGTAAATCCCAGCAACTACAACTCCCAAATGTCAAGGGCTATTTCCCCTAAACTCCGCCAGTGTTCACATTTGGGCATATTGAGTATTTGTGCCAAGTTTGGTCCAGATCCATCATTGTTTGAGTCCACAGTTCTCTCTGGATGTAGGTGAACTACACCTCCAAAACTCAAGATCGGTGCCCACCAAACCCTTCCAGTATTTTCTCTTGGTCATGGGAGTTCTGTGTGCCAAGTTTGGTTCAATTCCATTGTTGGTGGAATTCAGAATGCTCTTTGATTGTAGGTGAACTATAAATCCGAGCAACTATAAATCCCTAATGACAAAATCCCTACAACCCCATCAGTATTCAGATTTCGCTGTATCAGGTATTTGTGCCAAATTTGGTCCAGTGAATGAAAATACATCCAGCAAATCAGATATTTATGGTTCATAACAGTAGCAAAATTACAGTTATGAAGTAGCATCGAAAATAATTTTATGGTTGGGGGTCACCACAACATGAGAAACTGTATTAAGGGGTCGGGGCATTAGGAAGGTTGAGAACCACTGCTTTAGAACTTAGGTCAGATGTTTTCTTTGTCTGTCTTTGGTCAACTGTGGTGGGAATGAACCCAAGCTGCATGGATCCCTCCTCTCACCTGTCAAAGAATGGTAGCCTTCATAGCAGAATCACCTTCACTTTTGGGAAAGTTGAGGGTGATTGACTTTCAATAGCACAGTCAACAGCACTAGCATCTAACCCTGCTGTCATCTCTTTCATTTCATCCACATAAGTAAGAAACAAACAAATGGAAACTGATCCAAAGATTCATGGAAACACAAGTCTTAGCCCTCCAGGAACAGAACCAAGACTTGGAAATTTATTTTTGCTACTATGTGTGCATGTTTGTGGGAGGGGTAATCACAATCCCAAGAATCCAAATTAAAAATAAGCAACCGCTCCGAAATCTGATAACTTTCCAAACATGAATATGTTTGGAAATGCAGTTGTCTTCCTACCCAATCCAATTAAAATACTGTCAAAGTAGAAATGCCATGTGTTGCTTTTGTTTTTACACTTAGTTAGTGGAGACAGTTCAATCTATGCTGGGTGCTCATCTCTTTGGAAATTTGAACAGCCCCTTTTTTCTCTTTCGCTTCAAGCTGCTTTGATTGGCTACCAGCAAGACTCTTTTCCTTATCTAGATCCAAAGGCACGGGCCATTCTGCTTCTGACACTCTCCTGTTTCCTCTGCACAGATCTTAGAAACCAGCCCTACAGACGAGCCGATGCGGTGAGGAGAAGCGTGAGGAGGCGCTTCGACGACCAGGCCTTGCGCGCTCTCAATGGTGCTGAAATCACCATGTGAGCCGGACTGAGGAAACCTGCATTTGTAAAAGTAGGAAGTGTACTTGATCACTTCCTTCCCACGCAAACTCTATTTGTGCTACCATTTTCAATTATGGCCTTGATCACAGTCCATTAACTTATCTTCCGAAGGGCTCCGTAATGACAGAAAGTGCATAGGAAAGACGGGGAAAACATGGGCTCCCCACATAACTGTAGCTACCAAGTGCCTAAATTTCAAGTACCTGCTCAAATTTAATCAAAGCAATAGGACTTTTATTTGATTGGGTATCTTTTTACACCAATAAATTGGTTCAGTGTTTTTAACCAAAATGTAAGATACATATTGTATTTTTTGTCGTTGCATACAATTTAGTAAGTAGCCTTCAGTAGGCTTTCTCGATACCATGACCAGTTGTAAATAGGCAATACTTTGATGTGAGCTGCTGTGGACTTTTCTTTTCTTGTTATTATTATTATTATTATTTCAGTACATTCCTGAATGGTTTGAGAAGTTAACTCTGAACTTGAGCTGCACTTATTTTACTCTTCTATATGCATATGTAGGTATATGCATACACAGGACAAAATAAGCTGTTCAAATACATTGCGCCCTGTAAGAAAATGTTGTTGTCTTAGTGTGGGGAAAACATCCATGAAACAAACTTTGACACAGATTTGGGTACAGTTTAGAAAAGATAAAGATTACTGGGATAAAAGAAAGGATTGTTTTAGTGGGACCTCTATTGTAAATAGGATGTGGTAATGCAAGGCTTATATTAAATACACATTTACCTACTTTCGGATTCTACCTGGTACAGACTAGGAGGCAGCAAAGGTATTGGTGAAAATTTTGAACATATTGTGGACACAGAATGATGTATGAAACTCCGATTATTGTGTTCTTCATGTAGAGGCAGCTTTTGGGTAACCTTTATTATTTATTAATTAGCACTAAGATATTAACTTCTCAATAATCAGTATTAGAATTCCTGAGGACCGCAAACTGTTCAGTTGTCAGAACAGTGAAAACCTGGTTGGTGCCCAACTTTAAAAAATGGGATGTTTTCCATGCACAACCTTCTGTCTTCAGGCTGCACAGACCAGAGATTCGGAAGCCAGCTGTTTGCACCTCGCGACAACCCAGGTTGGATCAGGATTTAATTGGACTGCAGCTGACTATGGAATTGATCACCGCGTTCCAAGCCTAAATTGGAAACCCTTTTATCCCAGTCCACTCAATAATATGAACCAAGACTAAGTACAATGTGGAGTCAGACTTTTAAATATATCTGCACTGTGTTTATTTCGGTCAACATTTGGATTTCAAAGGGAATGCACAAGCCATTGAACATAATGCAGTGCAGAAGGATGTACTCGTTTGAAAAAAATGATTTTCGCTAATGGAGACTCTTCCAAATCTAAGTGCTTATATTTTCAGCTTAAAGCCAATTCAAGCATCTCAGTCAGGTTTTAATCTCGTATACATTCATATATTTCTATAAGGCAGGGCACCAATTTGTTTTGAAGTCCGAAACTGGAAGTTAAGGGATACCTTGCTTACTACTTACCTTTGCTGATAGCACTGCAACACTATGTTAATTGTAAAATGTCTTGTATAGTATTTAACCACTTACTTCTTTTTTATGTTGTGCTTATGTGAACCACTGGTAAAGGTCCCATATTCCTTTGATAATGTGTAGCTATATGATAATGTTTTTAAATGTACAGATATTTTGCTACAAAATTGGTGCTTTTTTATGGTTTTTACACTTCTCTTTAATTCCTACTCTAGCCTCGGGGTAATATTGTAAATATTGTTTAAAATGCATCAGCCTGAGCTATACAATCTGAATGTTATTTTAACTTATAGTTTTGTTTTTATATTTAACTAAATGGACAGTTTGGGGGCTCAGAAGTTATTACATTGAGGCCTGCTTACCTATTTACAGAAAGTTTATTTTACACAATGACCAATAGCACTCGCAGTTTACAGCAGCGTGCGCCTGACCTGCCAGGGAGAACATGCCACCATTACAACTTTTTTTCTTTACTGAAAAACAGATATTTTGACTTGGTTATCCCTATTTATGAACCCTCAATTTGGTAAGATAATTTAACAGCAGTAAAAAAGCTGGCAAAACTCAAAACGTACAAAAATGGTTTCAAATGAACAAGTAGGCTGTAATATTGGCATGTTCTCTTTGATATTTTATCTAGTAATAGACCTGCTTCTTAGCAATATTATAGCTGTTTTATAAAAGCAGTTCATGTTACTTTTCTGATCTGTTCATGGCATATGATTGAATAAACTATTTACACTACTACAAATGATTTAAGTTGTTTTTTGGATGTCGAATTTGTTCCAGCAACCTAAGTAAACGAGTATGATTAACTGTGGCTATATCCATGCTGAGAGAATCAAACCTGTGCTATGTCATTAAAACAGTGGTTCTCAACCTGTGGCCCCCCAGGTGTTTTGGCCTGCAATTCCCAGAAATCCCAGTCAGCTTACCAGCTGTTAGGATTTCTGGGAGTTGAAGGCCAAAACATCTGGGGACCCACAGGTTGAGAATGACTGCATTAAGACACTAAAGATGCATGCTTCTTTATAGAAGCCGGAGAGTTCATTCACTCCCATATCACATGATGGCCTCCTCCCCTTTCTAGTTCAGCCATATCCAAAGAATGCAGAACACTTTTTAAAAATGGGCATTCTTTCTGAGACACCACTTTCCATGGGATCGTTCTTCTGAAGCCCCTACACTAAAGGAGACAGTCATCCTTTCCTTTTTGAGGCACCTCTTTCCATGGGATCATTCCTTTCTCTGAAGCCTTTTACGCTAAAGGAGACAGGAACGCCTTTTAAAACATTCCTTTTAATGAAGCCCATCCCATCTTTAAACCACTAATGGGAACAGGAGCGTTAGAAGACCACCCACACTGAAATGTGACAAAGTAATTGGACAAATCCACCACTTCATCACAAGGAAAAATGCCCATTTTGAAGTGTTTCTATATGCAGGGAAAGAATTGGAGTTGATTTATGACTGTCTTTGACATTTTCCCATTTCTATATGCTGCAGAGATGGGAGATCCACAAGCAAACAGTGTATAGAAGCAGGTAGAAAGAGGAAAACTTCCATATGAGATCCCATGTTCCTGCCAGCCAGACATGAAGACTATTGTTTCCTACCAAAAGCATTGCATAAATTGGTATAAAACTGATAAAAATAGAAGGAGCACAAGTGGCTAAATATCTTTTGACCAAAATCAGTCTGTAGTCTCAAACAATTCTTCCTCTGTGTTATGAGGCAGGACATTGCGGACAAGCATACAGATGTGGAGTTATCTGTTCTGCTCCACAGTTGCACAAGATGGAAGATTATTTTAGGTAGTGCCATGAAGATGCTGTCTCCTCTGCTTCCAGGGTCAGTAATTTAGGGAGGGTGAATGACAGGCATCCAGCTATGTCCCTACAGACAGAAATTACATGGCATCATCTACCAGATCTCCCAAAGGGCCACTACATCTCACTACTTGACCATCCTTAATGGCAGGATGAAGAAGTAAGCAGATATGAGTTCCACAGGAAGGAATGTGATGCACAAAGACAGCAGGTACCTCCTTCCGCAGTAGCCACTGATGGACATACGCAGGTGCAATTTAACAATGTTTATTTCATATTCCATCTTTCTCCTGCATGGGGAAAGTGGAAGGCAAAAGGAAGAGGGGCCGACCAAGGGCAAGATGGATGGATGGCATCCTTGAAGTGACTGGACTGACCTTGAGGGAGCTGGGGGTGGTAACGGCCGACAGGGAGCTCTGGCGTGGGCTGGTCCATGAGGTCACGAAGAGTCGGAGACGACTGAACGAATGAACAACAACCTGCATGGGACCTTGTGTCTTTTTCTTGTCACCAATAGAATTGATCATCTTAGTTTTCTCTCTTGCTTGAGATGCATGTGCTCTCTTCTCTATTCTGCTATTAAGATGATTTCAAATGCTGGAAGAAACAGAAGCTGGTGCTAAGCTGTTTGGGTACATACAACACTAGGAGAAATTTACCAGAGGCTGCGTGGTATTTCCCCAATATGTCAACCTCCCCTTCATAACCTATTCTTAAGAAGAACCCTCTTGGGCTTCTATCTTCCTTTTAAAGCTACTTGAGTACTCTAACCTCACTTTTGTTCATATTTGGACAATGCACCAGAATAGGATTACAAGTCAAATTGTGTATGCTTGAAGAGAAGAGGAAATTTTAACTTAATTCACAATTGTGGCTGTTTGTGCATGTGAAAAAGGCCTCTGCAAGTTAAGCAAAAAACTTCAGCTTTTCCTCAAGTTATACCAAGTAACCTGCAGGTCAAAAATCTGGAGAAATATAAAGAATCATTTTAATGTGATATTTATAGCATTTTATTTTTAATGAAAAAATAAAGACAATGCTTTCAGAAGTAATATTTACTTAGAAACATGTTTCTTCATGTAAATTATGCAAGGCAATAAGAAAATATTTCACATAAATATTCCTGCATGGGAGAAGGGACCAAATATTATATTAAAAATTCCAGTTTTTCTAGCATTGATATTTGCCCAGTGCTATCTCAACATATAATTGAGTGTGAAACATGTTGAGTAAGTACTGTAACTAGGTTCAGGTACTGGCATGTAATCTGAATTTAAGTTTCTCCAAACAAAAAGCCAAACTGGAGTGTCTGTTTTTTGTTTTGTACCCAGATTCTCAAAATAGTGAGACATCTTGGGTTCCATTTTCCAAACTGTTGAGACTGTTGGCACAAAATTCTGGAAAAGTTTATCTTACACTTGGGTGTCTCTGGAAATGTCCTGATGTTTGCTTGTAGCTATATTGGATAAAATCCAGAGATCAGGAATATTATTTTGTGACCCTTATACTGTGTATACTTTTTTGTTGATGCAAGATAGCAGACCCACTTGTTGGATGGATTGTAACTGATTTCCACTCTTGTCCCTCATCTCCCACATTATCCCAGAGGGGGCTGCAATCAGGACAAGAGGCTGAAAAAAACCCCACCTTGAACCTATATCTCCATTGGGAGCATCCCAAGATCTGAGTTCCACTCATGGGGACAAACTGATCGACAGAGATGATCTAATGAGTGGCCTCATCACACCTGAGCATTTCTTCACTTCAATCCACTTTAAATGCTGTGACTGCCTCCTGCAGAATTCTAGAGTTGGCAGTTTACGGAGGGGCCTTGAAACTGCTCATCCAGGGAAGCCCTGGCCCTCCCTAAACTACAAGTCCCAGAATTCTGCAGGAGGCAGTCACAGCATTTAAAGTGGATTGAAGTGAAGAAATGCTCAGGTGTGATGAGGCCCTAAATCAGCTGACTAAATGGTAATGTACAGTTTGCATTTCTTAATATGCATAGTTAGCTAATAACTATGACTGCATTTAAGCAGTCATACTGCTACCAAAACAGGATGAAAGTATTTCACATTAGTACAGTGGCTGACCTTGAATGCCTTCTTTCGTTCTTTTTACTGTAATCTAAATGACTGAAGCATTTGACCACGGAATTGAACTTCTATGTATACTCTTCAACTAACAAGCGGAAAGCACATGAAATTGATATGTGTTACCTGTACAGAGCATTTTCAAAAGCAGAAAAAATACTAGTACACACTAGAAGACAAGGTTTAATAAGTGATAAAAATGTACAAAAATATTCAAATCAGAAAGATTTTAAGAGTCTGTAACCACAGTAGTCAATACTCCTGAATGTATAGGGCAGAGAATACTCATCAAATCAAATCAAATCTGGCAGAAGCTACTTAGTACAAAGGAGGGGGAAGACAATAAAAGGAAGACCAGGTCTTGAACAGTAGGTCACTAAGTTTCAGAAGAAAAGCATTACATCTACACTGATTTTCTAAACAAAGTATTGCAACTGCTTTTCAAAATTTGGTGGTACATTCTTCGGAAGGTCCTTAAGGCAACATATTGCAATTGATTTACAGTCTGATTTTTCAATTTTCTGTAACACTGGGTTAATTCTAAAACAATGCAAATTTTGCTTTGTTTGTTTTATATATACCCGATTTCTCTCTCTCTAATATAATGGTATCTATGTTATTATGCCAGCACATCTTAGTGCCTTTAAAGTTAAGGGCCTATTAGGATCTCCACCAATCACCTATTTTTTACAAATTTAAAACCTGACACTAGAGATTCACTTCAGGATGAAACTCATACATTTCAACCCAAAGTCAAAAATCAATCGAAATCACCAAAGACATCGGTTTGGCCAGTAAGGTAATGCATAGAAACCCACCATTGGGTTTTGGACTACCACGGATCAGGAAAAGCATTTGCCCCCCTTCTCTTCCTGTTCCTCTATTTGCAAAGAAAAAAAGTACTGTAAAATAACGAACAAAAGTGAAGCTACAAGCGAACTACAGAGCATCTTTCCAAAGGGAACAACACCCTTGGGGCATCTTTTCCCTGCCCTTTAGACCTTATTTGACAAGGAACCCAAATGTAGGCCTTTTTAGCAAAGCTGTTATATAGACAAAAGAGGCCTGAAAGGATTACGTATTTTTCCAAGCCGTTATTGAAAGGGCTCAAAAATAATTTTTTCTTGCTCATCCAAGTGTGCTCTCTGATGCATGGGATATATACAGACTGCCTAGCTCATCCAAGCAGAGACTTCTGAATGTTTGCCGTCTTCCTGATTTCGTTGCCAGGCACACAATGATATTGGAGATACTTAGTTACGCAGTACAACCAAAAAGCCATTGTTTTACCAATGGAACTCAGAACACTGGGAATCCATTTCCTGAAATTAGCCATTTATATTTTTATTAGATCACACTGTAAACATATTTGGTATAAATATTTCTTATTGATCTTCATCCAGTTGTTCCAAGAGGGTCCTCCTTTGCTTTTCTAGTTCACCTTCACTTAATTCACTACCCGAAGTATCCCAATTACCCTGAAAAAGCATAAGGAAAAGTAACTGGTACAACATTTCACATAACTAGCCATTCGGTTAATTATTCCACACACATTTAGAGCTACATGGTCTTTCGAAAAGATGGACATGATTGGAAAGGGCTGTATCTCTGCAATCAGGAATCAACCACAAATAAAACTCTCAACCCATAGAAAGGGTGAGGCAAAGTCTCAAAGGATTGCCGCTAGATGCTTCTCCCACAAACACTCTTAGCTTCAGTCATTCACAAGATTGCAACCCCTTAACATAAGGTCTAATGGGATTTTCTCCATTTGCAGAGTTATCTTTTAGATTTGTTTCTAGCTCAAAATGGTTATAGCAAAACTTGAT